AAACAACGAGACCCCAGGATGCTGACAGCCAGTGCCCTGAATTCTACCCTTGAGGTTCTTCTAATTTCCAGGTCCCTGCGAGGATGAGCTCCCTCTGTCCGTATTCGTTTGGGATTTCTTGGACCATGTGACAGAGCAGCCTGGCAGTTGTGAAACTGACATGGAGCAGTTTGCAGAGACCCTGAGTGGCCGGGTCACCACGGACAAGGCTTTGGAAGAGCTGGTGGACCTCATCTATCAACAGGCCAAGTCGGTGCCAAGGTTCCGCAGCGGGGGAGCTCGCCTGTGTGCTTACCTGTCCCGTCACCTGACCATTCGCTCACAGAGGGGCAGCTTCTACGATGTGCTCCTTCAAAGATGTCAGGCTGATTATGAGCCTAGAGATCAAGCTGCCAAGGGGGATGAAGCAGCTCGGAAACGATTCCATGAGTTGGTGTTCTTTATGGGAGAATTTTATCTTCCGCTGGAGATCGAAGGGGCTCATGGAAAGGCTCAAACAGCTTTTCTTCGGGGCTTGTTGGATGCCCTCCTTTCTCACCCTGTGGACGATAACCTAATTTGTGCAGTAAAATTACTGAAGTTGACAGGGCCCGCCTTGGAAGATGCCTGGAAGGGAAAGGGAAGGACGGACATGGACGAGGTTATCCAGAGGATTGGAAATGTCGCTCTGGAAGCGCCCTGCAGTGTTGATGTGAGGCTGATGCTCTTGAAGCTTGTAAAGCTCCGGTCAAGTAACTGGGGGAAAGTCCCTGTCACCTCAGCATCCGAGAGAAGCAGCACCTGAGAATGATCCCGACTGTTTGTGACGTAACCGCCATTGGGTCCAGTGGATGGTGCTCCTCTCCCTGCAGCTGATCCCGATGACCAGGATTCATCTCAGGAGTGACCTGAGGGCGGGAGGGGCGGGGAGGGGGAGGACATATGTGATACTTTCAACAATCAAGATTTATTAAAAACAAAAAAGAGTGAATTGAAAGAGAAGACTCTTTCCAGATTGTGAAGAAAATGGAGCAGATGTGTCCGGGGTGGTGACCGTACTTGGATGATATTGACGATGAGGTGGACCCAGAAGCTTATGCACAGTTTTGTTTGGAACCAGAGCGTCAGCAGAAGCCGTCGGGTTAAACGTCCACGGGTCAGAGGGAGGAAGCCGTGCAGGTGATGGTGGGAACCGGACGCAGGAAACCTTTCACACTTGTACCCGATGGAGGACGCAGAGAGATGTCACTAATGTCCGCACCTCCAGTCGTGTGTATCACTCTCTGCCACAATAAACTCTATTCACTAGAACCTAAAAAATAAACTTAACTAAAGTAAACTGTTTCCCTGCCTGGTTTGGCTCAGTGGAGAGAGGGTTGGCTTGTGGACAGAAGGTCCCAGGTTCCATTCCAAGGGCACGTCCCTCTACCAATCGGTGTGTGTGTCTCTCTGTCTCTCCCCCTCCCTCCCACTCTCTAAAAATCACTGGAAGCCAGGCCGGTGTGACTCAGTGGTTGAGCATCGACCTATGAACCAGGAGGTCGGGGTTTGATTTCCGGTCAGGGCACACACCCAGGTTTCGGCTCCATCCCCAGTGTGGGGCCCTGCAGGAGGCAGCCTACCTTGTTTACCTCTGTCTATAAAATAAAGGCTCAGCTTGCCTCTGGATCTCTCTCTGTGGCCTCAGCCAGGCACAGGAAGATCCACGGAGAATAAAGAGCTGAACATTGTCTCTGTGTCCTTCATTCTTCGCCAACTCTGTCCACACCTTTGGGAACCCCTGGACCGCTGGGGCTGGACCCCGGCAACTAGCGCCTGAACAGGCTGAACAGGATTCCCCTACGTAAGTCATCCCCCCCGCCCCACCTTGGGAAGGATAGGACTGCACCGTAGGGTGCTGCAGACCCCTCTGTAGAAGATAAGTAGGGTAAGAGGGTGGATAGTACAGAACTTAGATTGAGAAGATGGGCCATACTGAGTCTAAAGAAAAAAAGACTCTGTATTGATCTTTTAACACATATGCTTGCTAGCAGAGGAGTTAAGTTTACTCCCAGTCAGACAGAATGACTCCCAGTCAGGGGGAACTTCAGTTGTCAGGTGAAAGGACACTCCAGTGAAGCACATGCAAAAAAACAACAAGCAAGGTGAGGGGCGCAGCTCAGTGATATAACTAGGTGTAAAATATCTGATATTCAGGATCGTAAGAAAAGAATTCATACGTATCCAATGCTTAATGCTATGCTCTAAGCATGGGCGGTTCTGTGAGCATGAACAGCCTTTCGATTTGTTGGATTTTGTAAGTAAAACCTGCACATGGTTTTCTGAGGAAGGAAAGGTAAATGTAGAGGCATGGGAGAAGGTAGTCCCAAGGAGCCTTATCCTTAACCCCACTGCAGCCTTTCCAGCAGGCTCAGTAAACCTTTATCATGTCACCCCGGGAAGCACAGGATTGGCAAGTTCCCCCTGGGGTACTTGATCAGGACTCAGGTAATAGCAGAAAGCGCCAATCCTACTCTTAAAATGGATATGAGAAAGCATTTGGGGTGAAAGGGCGAGGGCTATGCCCTCCATCTTGCCCCGTGTCCTCCATGTTGGGGCAGCAGCCATGTGCTCAGGAAAGTACCTTCTTCCCGGAAGCCCAGGCCTCTGCTGGCCACGCCCGGAATCTTTTTAAACTAACCAATGGCAATCAGGGGACGTGTGCGCCATGGAGATGACCACATCCTGTGTAACAAGACCCGACTTGCACCTAGCCAATCGGCAGGGCTCACAGTCATCTCCCCTGCCCTCACTCCACCCCCCCTATTAAAACCCCATTTTTTTCCCACGGGGGTCTCTCGTCTCGCCGTTGTGAGGCTGGGAGCAAAGACCTCTTTGCTTTTGCATCGGACGCGGCTGGCTCCCTCGCGTGGTCTGTTGGGGATCTTGAAATCTGGGCATAACGGGTTTTTCTTTTTGATGCCTGCTTTGGAGTGAGTAAATGCATTCTACTTAGTTTTACCCCATCAAAGTTAGCTCTTGACACAAAAAGAAAAACTAACAGTTTGACTCAAAGTTAAGGTTTTATTTTGAGGTGCTAAGGCTCAAAAGTAGAACCAATTCACAATAAAAATGTAAAGCTGCAACTTCTTAAGTTAGAGTAGGAAGTCGTAAATACAGAGGAGCAGGTATGTCTATATGTATCTAGGAAGCCAGAGCTATTTCTTCAGGTTTCATGATACCATGTTTAGTAGCCTGTTCTTCTTCTAACCCATTTAGCTGAGTTAAAATAAGCTGTCTTATTGAGGCTTCATGTGATATCTTCTGATTTCACATTTTGGAGCACTTGACAGCATTACCAGGGGTGAGGAGGAATGCAGTAGCAAGCTCTGAAATGTATACCCTTTTATGAACGGTCAGAATCCCATCAATATAAACCTTTTCTATAAAAACAAAAAAAGGGGGAGAAGAATGTTATATGTTAAATTTTTAAAAAATACAATGCAGAGGGTTGTACAGCGGCCGAAAGGCTTTGGGCCTCTTGTACAATAGCCTCTGCTGGGTTAGCCCGGTGGAAGGATACAGAAACCAGCCAAGAGTTTTACCAGACCTAGTAATGATGTGGGGAAGAGGTTGTGTTTGTATCTTTCCCAGAAGGAGCAGAGCAGCCAATTTGGGTACCAGAGCGTTACGTGCGTCACCACCACGGACCCAGAGAAGCTCCTTGTCCCTTCATTCAAAAGACTGAGAGTTGCTGAGATGACAGTAAAGTGGAAAAAAAGAAGAAAAGAAGGCTACACAGGTTGGGACCGAGGTGCCAACAGGGGGTCGGCTGAAGAAGTTAACAACGGAGGCCCAGCAGATGGCAGAAAAGCAAGGAGTGGAAGCGACTCCCTCAGCCGTGTGTCTGGCTAGGCTAGCGTTGGTCCGCTGCCAGTCTTCTGCAGAGTCTTGCGCAGCCAACTCCGAGGACTCTGAGTAAATCAGCAAAAGACACTTTCATTTAGCAGAAACTCACTTATTGCTGTTTTGCATTGGCATTTTTTGTTATTCTTACTAGTTTTAAAAATGTTAAATCATTGGCATTGTTTTGTTAATAGTCAGAGCTTTATGTTTAAGTTTTAAAATGTTGACGTGTCTGTAGTTTGGGTTTTGCATTGGCATTGTTTTGTTATTGTTTTAATAGCCAGAGTTTTGTTCTTGATGCTTAAGTTTTACTTTCATTATGGTAGCTTAAAAACTTTCATTATAGTAGCTTAAAAATAAAAGAAGGGTGTGATGTAGGGCGTGGCTATAGGGTTAAGCCTCAGACTGACCTGTTGGCAAAGCCACAAACAAGTCCCAGCTTAGAGGGCACAGTCCTCTTAGCATTATTAGGCTTGACCTTATGACGCTCCTTAGATCTTATCTGGGAATCTAATGGGCTGAGAAAGTGCAGCAAGTGCTGCCAAAACCAGTGAAATTCACAAGAACAGTGTAACTTTGGTGACCACTCCCTTGTTTACCTCTGACTATAAAATAAAGGCTCAGCTTGCCTCTGGATCTCTCTCTGTGGCCTCAGCCAGGCACAGGAGGTCCACCTAGAATAAAGAGAGAACCTGGCTATGCTGATCATCTGAATGCTGTTTCCGTGTCCTTCATTCTTCATTGACTCCGTCCACACCTTTGGGAACCAGTGGACCTCTGGGGCTGGACCCCGACAGTCTCTGTTTTTTCCCTTTAAAAATTCGTGCAATTTGTGCCTCTGACTGAGTTTGCTTAGGATGAATCAGAACAATTTGTTGCACCAAATTGCCAGAAAAAAGTGCTGTATGTAGCTGTGGCCTCGGCACAGGGCACCCTGTCTGTGCGTCCACATCCGTGTGCTGAGTCAGCACGGGCCCCACCGATAAAGGTCACGCTCGGGGCTGTCACATAAGCAGCCGCGTGACCTGGCCCTGCTGACTCCGCACCCAGGTCGCCCGCTGTTCCCGGGCCTGGGAGGGGGCTGTCACCTGGACCCCCGGCAGCTGCCACCCCCATGGGCACGGGGTCACCAGGCGGCCTCGGGCCCTGGCTCCAGGGTGGGAAAGGGGGCGTCTAACCCTCGGGTGAGCGGGGCTGGGTTGAACCCATGTAATCGTCCCCGTCTGCCTTCTCTCCCACCCCGTCTGCCAGGGACCCGCACCCAGAGCTCTCAGGGGCGAACCTTCACCTCATGGCGGGGACTGTGGCCTCAAGGTGAGGTCCAGGCCCGCTGCTCTGTGGTCCGGGAAGAAGGCAGCAGAGTCAGTGGAGCCCCAGCTTCCCTCCTCCTCTTAGGGATCCTCAAAAGGGAGCCCAAGGCCTGGAAGGGGCCGGGAAGCCCTGTGGGGGGAGGAGGCTGCTGATGAACCCCTGGGCTCAGCCCCCCACACCCGTGTGGCACGCCCCCCACTGGGGATCACGCCCGCAACCCGGGCCTGTGACCAGGAATGGAACTGTGAGCTCTTGGCTTGTAGGTAAGTCGAAGCTCAACCCCTGACACACGGGCTGGGCCCTGCAGTCCTTTTGCTCTCAGTGCTGCCCCCACGGTGGCTGGGGCCTCCCATGGCTCCCGGCTCCCAGCTGGGTGCTGACTGGTGGTGATGCTGACAGTGTCTGACCCTGCAGAGCGACGCTGAGAGGGAGAATGAGGGCGGAGGTCACCAGCCCTTTCCACCGCCCCCTTCAGAGCAGTGATGAGAGCATAGGGACCTAAAAAATAGCAAAAAATAAAATAACATCCGCCCAGAAGCTGAAGGTCCCCGAGGGGGTTGGTCGGTGGCCATGGCAGGAAGAGCTGCAGTCGGGCCTGTGGGCGGTGCCGCTCGCTGACCTCGGACACTCCTGCTGGCCCAGAGCCCAGGTCCCGTGAGGACTTGTCCCCTTTCCTGTGGCTGTAGAAGGACTTCTTCCCACCTCTCCCTGCCCTGCGGGGCCCAGCCCAGCCAAGTGCAAACCCTTAGGGGCATTTCCTGGTTTCCTCCCCAAACCCAGCAGCGCCCCGCCCCCCACCACTGGCAGTTTCATTTCTACTTGGGTCCCGCCCAGGACCTGGGAAGGAGCTTTTGTTAGCTTAGGTGGCTCAGGAGGTGGCGTAGGAAATAAAGAGGGTCGAGTCTATCAGAAAAGGAAAGGTTTTATTCTGTGTTCCCGGGCGACCCACGATCCCCAGAGGGCTCGTGGATTCACGGCAACAGGGAGGGGGGCAGTTTTTCTATATTGCGGTTGGGTGAAGGGCAGGGACATGAACTGAGGAAGTCTCCGCCACAGGGGTCGGCAGGGCGTTCAGGGAGGAGTCAGAATCTGTGTGGGGGTCGCTGTGGATTCAGGAAGAAGCCAGTATCTGTGTCTGGCCCGCTGATCTGTTAGAAATTCCAGGGAGGGGCCGTTATCTCATCACAGGTCTGCAAGTATCCGATCCTGGGCTCCCTCCGATCTAACAGCTTTTCCAAGCGACTCCTTCCAGCCAGTGTGTGGCCTCAGTGTTTGCCCAGGTACTGGGGAGGGTGCGGGCGGGTCTCGCAGGGGGGTGATGACACCTGGTGTGCGGACGGGAGGGGGGTGTGGTGGGGGGCCCGGGCGGCAGGGAGGGGTGTATTTCAGACACCAGGGGAGTGATGGCCAACCTATGACATGCGAGTCAGAGGTGACACAGGAACTCATTTTTTGGGGTTGATTTTTCTTTGTTAAATGGCATTTAAATATATAAAATAAATATCAAAATATAAGTCTTTGTTTTATTATGGTTGCAAATATAAAAATTTTCTATATGTGACACGGCACCAGAGTTAAGTTAGGGTTTTTCAAAATGCTGGCACGCCGAGCTCAGAAGGTTCGCCATCACTGCACCAGGGCCTCTGTCCCTCCAGGCCCCTGGCCCGCAGCCCTTCCCCGAGGCCGCTTTCCCTTCCACCAAAGTCCAAGCTGTTCCAACCTCAGGAGATCTGGGTGCGAGGCGGGGGGAGTGGAGGCCCGGACAGGCCCCCGGGGCCCCTGGAAGGCAGGTCCTGTCCTGGGGACACAGCCCAGCCACAGAGGACCCCAGCGTGTCTCCGGGAAATCACCCGCCCAGGAAGGTGCTCTGAGCAGAAACTCTCTGTGGCTCCGGGGGCTGCCCTGGCTCTAGAGGAAGAGGGGTCCAGTGGTCTCAGGGATTCCTGGTTGTGTTCCCTCCATTGTCAGGTCCCAGGAAGTTGGATCTGCAACTGGCCCGCCTCCCTCAGCCCCCAGGAGGGCAGGCCTGGCTCTCCAGGAGCTGCAGCCCGGGCCAGGGTCCCAGGGTCCCTCCTTCGCTCTCTGGTTCCTGGGTCGTCTCTGGAGGATCTTGGGGTTTTGTCTTCCCACTTGCTCCCCCTCCCCTCGTCCCCCAGGGTTGCAGGTGCCTGGAACTTCTCCTGGGAGACAGTCCTGGCTGGAGGAGGAGAGAGGTCACCTGACTGGGCCTCCACGACCCGCCCCTCTGTCCAGCCCAGGCCTTTCCTTTATTTAAAAAAATGTTTGTATGGATTTCAGAGAGGAAGGGAGAGGGAGAGAGAGACACATGATGTTTCTCCTGCACGCCCCCCACTGGGGATCGAGCCTCTGAGCCAGGCATGTGCGCTGACCGGGAATGGAACCCTGACCTCCTGGTCCAAAGGCGGACGCTAAGCCACTGAGCCAGCCGGCCGGCCGGCGCCTCTCAGGGGAGGGAGGCTGGAGGGACTCACTGGGTCTCAGGTGCCGTGTTTACCTCGGGTTCGTCCTGGGTGGGTTTCCCTGGAGGAGATTTTTCCTATTGTTTCTTCCAGAGAAAGGAAGGGAGGGCAGCCGGGGGGGGGGGGGGGGGGGAGAGAGAGACCGCAGGAATGGAACCCGGGACACGTCAGTGCGCAGTGGACGCTCTAACTGCTGAGCCCGCTGCCCAGCCTCTGTTCTCTGTGGGGGGCCGTCGGGGGAATGGCTGGGGGTGCAGAGGCTCAGCAGGTCCACAGTCGCTGCTTCAGTGGAATCTTCCTGATCCACCCAGTTCCTTAAGTTGCAAAGAAACGGTCCTGGAACCAGTTATTCCAATTATTCCTCATGTTCCTCAGGTGGGAGAGTCCCCCGGACCCTCACTGGGTCCCTGGGGGCATCCTGCCTCGCCCTCGCCCTCCCTGTGTCTGGGCTCCAGCACCAGCTTCCCCCTGATGGATGGTCTCTATTGGGGCTTCATGCAGCCCCCGGTGGCCATGAAGCAATGGAAATGTGACCAGTCCTACCTGGTGCGGCTCAGTGGAGAGAGCATTGGCCTGCGGACTGAAGGGTCCTGGGTTCGAATGCGGTCAAGGGCACGTACCTGGGTTGCAGGTTCCATCTCTGGCCCTGGTCGGAGTGCATGTGGGAGGCAGCCCATGGGTGTGTGTCTCTCTCTGTCTCCCCCCTCCCTACCACTCTCTCTAAAAATCAATGGAAAAACATCCTCAGTGAGGCTACATCTGCATGTTAAATTCTGTTTCTTTTTAGTCAATGGAATTGGCGTCCCCACCCTAGTCCACAGCACAGCTGCACTCTCTGCAGCATCCACATTGCAGACCTTTCTTCCCTCCAGATAAGACCTCAAGGCCCGTGGGGCCTGGCAGCCGGGTGTCCACAGGAAGCCGGGGTGGGTGTGCTGCCTGCGCTGTGGGAGCCTCTTGGTCCAGCATTGCAGCTTCTGGCAGAGGCATGGCGTCGGCCTCCACCAGCAAGATGCGGGAGGAGGCCACCTGCTCCATCTGCCTGCACCTAATGGCTGAGCCTGTGAGCATCAGCTGCGGCCACAGCTACTGCCAGGTCTGTCTCCTGGGCTTCATGAGCCTGAGCTCCTCCTCCCAGCAGAGCCAGAGGGACACGCCCACCTTCTCCTCCCCTGGGAGCCAGCAGAGCACCTTCTCCTCCCCTGGGAGCCAGCAGAGCACCTTCTCCTCCCCTGGGAGCCAGCAGAGCACCTTCTCCTCCCCTGGGAGCCAGCAGAGCACCTTCTCCTTCCCTGGGAGCCAGCAGAGCACCTTCTCCTTCCCTGGGAGCCAGCAGAGCACCTTCTCCTTCCCGCGGAGCCAGCAGAGCACCTTCTCCTTCCCTGGGAGCCAGCAGAGCACCTTCTCCTTCCTGCGGAGCCAGCAGAGCACCTTCTCCTTCCCTGGGAGCCAGCAGAGCACCTTCTCCTCCCCTGGGAGCCAGCAGAGCACCTTCTCCTTCCCGCGGAGCCAGCAGAGCACCTTCTCCTTCCCTGGGAGTCAACAGAGCACCTTCTCCTTCCCTCGGAGCCAGCAGGACACGCAGACCTTCTCCTGCCCCCAGTGCAGGGCTCCCTTCCAGAGAGGCAGCCTGCGGCCCAACAAGCAGCTGGGCAGCCTCATCGCCGCCCTCCGGGAGCAGGAGCAGCAGCAGCAGCAGCTGGAGCAGGAGCTGTCCTGCCAGGAACACGGGGAGCGGCTGCACCTCTTCTGCGAAGATGAGGGCCAGCTCATCTGCTGGCGCTGCGAGCGCGATGGGCGGCACAAGGGCCATAACACGGCGATCGTGGAGGATGTGGGCCCCGGCTACAGAGTGAGTGCCTCCTCTTGTGCCCAGAGACCCCCATCACCAGCCGGGAGCCCAAGGTTGGGACCCTGAATGCTAGCTTTCCTCATGTCCTTATTCTAGCGGGGAGGTGTGTGTGTGGGGGGGGTGAAGGCCTGGAGGGGTGGGAAGGTTGAGGGTGGGTCCTCCCTGAATCAAGTCCTGGCTGTCCAGCCCGCCTTCCCCGGACGGTCAGACTTCATCCAGGTCCCGGCTGCGTGGTGAACTGGTCCCAGCTCCAGCGCCCCATGCGCTCAAACGCACATGAGTGGTGTGTTGTTTTGTTTGATAATCCTCACCTGAGGCTATTCTTCCATTGATTTTTAGAGAGAGTGGAAGAGCGGGGAAGAGAGAGAACAATGATCTGAGAGACACGGATTGGTTGCCTCCTGCAGGTGCTGCGACCGGGGCCAGGAAACGGCAGCCGAGGTTCATGCCTTGGACCAGAATCAACCCCATACTGTTCAGTCCGAAGGCTGAGGCTCTAGTCTAGCCTCTGAGCCTAACCAGTCAGGGCCGCACCTGCACGTTTTGTCGCCTCTCGGGTGCATGTGATGAGACGGCGCCGTGTGCAGGGGCCCGTGCGGGAGTGAAAGCAGAGGGACAAGGAGCCACCTCGTGGGCAGCCTGCCATCCAGTAGGGAAGACGCACCAGTGGAAGGACTGCCGGCCTCCATGGCCTGGGGGGTGGGAAGGGGGACCCAGGTGCGGGTGGTCTCGGGGAGCCCCCCCAGAGGTGAGTCCTGAGGAGCCTAAACACTAACCATGTGGCCTGGCCAGCGTGGCTCAGTGGTTGAGCATCAACCTAGGAACCAGGAGGTCACGGTTGGATTCCTGGTCGGGGCACATGCCTGGGTTTCGGACTCCATCCCCAGTGTGGGGTGTGCAGGAGGCAGCTGATCCATGATTCTCTCTCATCAATGATGTTTCTCTCTCTCTCCCTCTGAAAATAATTACAATATATGCATACTGGAGGCCCAGTGCACGAAATCTGTGCACTGGGGAGGGGTGTCCCTCAGCCCAGCCTGCATCCTCTCCAATTTGGGACCCCTTGAGGGATGCTCGACTGCTCCAGGGATGGGGCCTAAACAGGCAGTCAGGCGTTCCTCTCACAATCTCGCCTGCCTGCCGGCCTGATCACCCCCTAACCACTCCCCTGCCAGCCAGATTGACGCCTAAGTGTTCCCCTGCTGGCCCATTCACCCCCAACTGCTCTCCCCTGCAGGCCATCTTGTGTGTTGGAGTGATGGTCAGTTTGCATACTGGTTGTGATTAATTAGTATATCTGGTCACAACTAATTAGCATGTCCAGTCGTGACTGTGAGGGCATTGTGACCAATTTGCATATTACCCTTTTATTAGTATAGATTTTTAAAAAAAATAAAAAATATTAACGGTATGCAGGAGTGCTGAGCAAAAAGAGGGCTCTCCTGTGAGAGGGCCCCTGGCAAACACACAGCCAGGGGGCAGAGGCGTGTAGGGAAAGACAGGTGTCGCCGAGCCTTCCATCAGCTCAGTCGAGGTCCCCACACAGGCTGTCCTGGCCATTAGCCGAGAGGAGGGTCAGGGTGACAGGGACAGAGAGAGCCCCGGGCACTGACATCCAGATTCTTCCCGTCAGAGGGAGAAGAGAGATGTGGTCAGCAAGGGTCACTCCATTTCTTCCTCCAGGAAAAGCTCCAGGAAGCGGTGAGGAAACTGAGGAAACTGGAAGAGGAATGCACGAACCAGAAAGCATTCACGGTGAAGCAGATGGCCGAGTGGAAGGTGAGAATGGGGGGCTCTCGCCTTGGCCACTGGAGGGCACCCCCCTGGGCTCAGGCGTGTGCAGGAGGCAACAGTCCATGTCTCTCTCACATTGATGTTCCTCTCTCTCTCCCCACCCTCCCTCCGTGCCACTCCCCTCTCTCTAACAATCAATGGAGAGAATATCCTGGGCTGAGGATTAACGACAACAACAGAAAAAGAACAGAGATTTCTTGGTGTCAAGCTCTGTTTGGTCCTAGTTCTTAGGCGCAGGGTCTGATCGGGCGAAGCACAGTGATGGTGTCACTGAACCGGAGCAGCAGGTGGAGCCCCGAGAAGAAGCCATTGTCCTCCTTGTCCACATTAATGAGAGTTCATCCCCCCCTCCCCCTCCTTCCAGCAGGAAATGGCCAGGAGGCCAGAGCCTGTTGGAGCCGTAGAATCACATGCCTGTTTCCCGAGAGACGTCCCCACTGGCTTTCCAACTTTCTTTACTTTATTTCATATTTGTATTTATGTCAGAGACAAAGGGAGAGAGAGAGAAACATCCAGGAAGAGAGAGAATCATGGATCGGCTGCCTCCTGCACGCCCCCCACAGGGGATGGAGCCTGAAACCCGGGCCTGTGTCCTGACCGGGATCCAATGTGACCTCCTGGGTCACAGGTGGACGCTCAACCACTGAGCCCCGCCGGCCGGGCTGAGCGTCCTCTCTTGACTGTAGGAGAAGGTAGAGGCTCAGAGACAGAAAATCCAGGCGGGCTTCCAGAACCTGCACAGCTTCCTGAGGGAGGAGGAGAGGTCGTTCCTGTGGAGACTGGAGAGCGAGGAAGAGCGCACTCTGCAGAGACTGAGGGTCAGTGAGGCCGACCTGGACCAGCAGAGCCGCCAGCTCGAGAGCCACATCCGGGAGCTGGAGGAGCGATGCCAGGGCTCCGTCCAGAAGCTGCTGCAGGTGAGGCTGTGCCTGGGAGGAGCCACTGGGAGCGGGTCCTGAGCTGCTGGGGGGTTTGGGGGGGGCCATGGGAACAGAGGACCGCCTGCCTGCCTCTGCGGTGGCACATCAGTGTGGGGGAGTCAAAGGGAGATTTCTTTTATTCTTATTTAGTCATTTTGTTAATCCTCATTCCAGGATATTGTTCCTTTGGTTTTAGAGAGTGGAAGGGAGAGGGAGAGACAGAGAGAAATGTCAATGGGAGAGGGACACATTGATTGGTTGCCTGCATAGGTGCCCAGCTCTAGGCCTGAGATCAAGCCTGCAACCAAGGCGTGTGCCCTTGACCTGAATTGAACTTGGGACCCTTCAGTCCACAGGCCGACGCTCTATCCACTGAGCTAAACCAGCTAGGGCATAAAGGCATATTTCTTTTATTTTTATTTCTTATCATTTTTTAACGTGTTTTTTTTTAAATTTGATTTGAGAGAGGAATGGAGAGGGAGAGATAGAAACATCAATGATGAGAGAGAATCATTGATTGAGCCTGCAACCTGGACATGTGCCCTGACAGGGAATCATACCCTGACTTCCTGGTTTATAGGTTGATGCTCAAGCACTGAGCCACACCAGCTGGGCTAAGGCTATTCCTTTTAGAATATTGAACAGATAAAATCTACAGGGTGGCTTCCACTGGTCTCCAGCGTTCTGTGTATAAATCAGAAAATTGTGATTTAGCTCAAAAATCCAGTGTTGCTCAGTGGATAGAGCATCAGCTTGAGGACCGAAGGGTGCAGGGTTCCATTCTGGTCAAGGGCACGTACCTCAGTTGCAGGCTCCTCCCTGGTCCAGGCCGTGGTCAGGGCTTGTGCAGGAGGTAACCAGTCAATGTGTTTCTCTCACATCGATGTTTCTCTCTGTCTCTCCCTCCCCCTCCCCCTCTTCCTAAAAATCAATGGAAAATTATCCTCGGGTGAGGATCAAGAAAAATGAAATCCCCCCTGTAGGTAGAGGGGGTGGGTTCCTCGGCCGAACAGGCTCAGGGGATGGCTTCCGCTCCCACGTGCCTGTGTCCAGGGACACAGAATCCTGAAGGTCAGGCGATGGCGGGGACCAGGTGGGGCCGCCCCATGAGTGATGGTGAGCCTGGGCTGATGGGCCCTCCTTCTGTTTATGGTAAATCATCGAATGACAGACAAGAGACCTTAATGAGCCAATTAACTAGGAGTCCTTTATCGTGTGGGGCCCAGAGGGAGGTGTCTCTTTCCAAATCTCTGAGCAACTCATTCAGGAAGTTTCCCGTCTTTATACCTTTTGAGCCGCTTTGTTTGCAGATATTACAAAGGGCTCTCTGTGAGTTAATGTTACAGACAGTTGTAACCTTGAGTACATAATGAGTTTGTGCACGGCACATTATCAGGATTAGTCTATTTTAGGCTATTACATTGGATGGCTAGTTGGCAAGGTCAGACAGTTAAGTTGATATTTTTCTATTATTTGAACTAAAAACAAAGTCATTTTACAGAATAACAGACTGTCTTAAAGTGACAGAGTTTATAATGACAGAGCTTACAGAACAAGGGATTATCTCACAGCAGCAGAGAATTTTAACAGCAGTTTTCTATACGAGATGGAGGTTACTATGCTTCACTTTTAGCCTCAGGAAGGTGAACCTCCCCCTACCTCCCAGCTGCTGGTCCCAGGTCCGGCGGGTGGAAGTGGAGGGCGCCCCTCAGGGTGACCATGTCTCATGGCTGCTCTGCCCACTGGTCACTGTGGCGGCCACCTCAGGGCCCAGTCTGGGCGCTGGGCACCCACCCACGGCCGAGAGGCTTTGTGACAGGGGGCCTCTGGCAGGTGCGCTCTGAGGGAGGTGAGGCCAGAGGGAGCGTGGAGGGCTCTCCACGCCCCTAAGCAGCCGCAGGCTCCCCAGCACCTCAGCAAGGAGGGCGCCAGGCTCGGAGGCTGAGAGGTGTCCTGCTGTGCTGACTGTCCGAACCCAAGGCTGGGCTTGCCCTGTGCCTCTGGGAGGGAGCAGCACCCCATCAGCATGGTGTTCCCACACTCACCTGTGCCTTCGTTTCCCGCAGGACGTGAAGGGCGCCCTGAGCAGGTGAGTGCTGAAGGAAGGACCAGGGGGAGTGGGGTGCGGAGCCACGGGGTGCCCCGCTGAGCATCTCTGGCCTCTGCTCCCCCAGGAGCCAGGCTGTGCGGCTGGAGATGCCGGAGGCCCTGTCCTTGGAGATTGAGACCGAATGCGAGGTCCCCGAGCTCTACTTTGACCTGAGCAAACATTTGAGGAGCCATCAAGGTACGTGAGGGCGATGCTAAGTGCTTCGGGGACCGAGCTCAGTGCAACCTCCACCCCACGGGTTACGGGGACAAATGGGAGGGTTTCTACTTTATGGTCACAGCCCTGTGCTCCCCTCACTGGTCCGAAACATCGCTCAGACTCCAGAGCACAGACTGGTCTTCTCTCAAAGAAACTGTGTTGGCAGTGGGGTTCGCCTCCAACCTCGACCCCCGAAAGCCACCCAGGGCCGCAGGGTGCGTGGGCACGGCCCACAGAAACCCTTTGTGTGTCCGCAAGGGAGGATCCTGGGAAGAAACTTGCAGCTGGTCCTTTCCCACCCTCTGAAGGGACATTCTTAGAACAAACGAGATCCCAGCAGAACTGGGAGTCAGAGTCTCCGGTGGTCGCCGCTCCCCTGTGAACGCCCACGCTGTCTGCCAGCCCCCTGAATTCTACCCCTGAGGTTCTTCTAATCACCAGAAACCTGGAGGATGGTCTCCCTCTGTCCGTATTCATTTGGGATTTCTTGGACCATCTGACAGAGCAGCCTGGCAGTTGTGAAACTGACATGGAGCAGTTTGCAGAGACCCTGAGTGGCCGGGTCACCACGGACGAGGCTTTGGAAGAACTGGTGGACCTCATCTACCAACAGGCCACGTCCGAGCGCAAGTTCCGCTGCGGGGGAACTCGCCTGTGTGCTTACCTGTCCCGTCACCTGACCATTCACTCACAGAGGGGCAGCTTCCGCCAAGTGCTCCTTCAAAGATGTCAGGCTGATTATGAGCCTAGAGATCAAGCTGCCAAGGGGGATGAAGCAGCTCGGAAACGATTCCTCGGGTTCGTGCTCTTTCTGGGAGAACTTTATCTTCCACTGGAGATCGAAGGGGCAAATACAGAGGCTCGAGTAGCTGCTCTCCGGGGGTTGTTGGAAGCCCTCCTTTCTCACCCTGTGGACGATAACCTAATTTGTGCAGTAAAATTCCTGAGGTTGACAGGGCCCGCCTTGGAAGATGTCTGGAAGGGAAAGGGAAGGACGGACATGGACGAGGTTATCCAGAGGATTGGAAACGTCGCCCTGGACGTGCCCTGCAGTGAAGGCATGAGGCACATGCTCTTGACGCTTGTGGAGCTCCGGTCAAGTGTATGGGGGAGAGGCCCTGTCACCTCAGCATCCGAGAGAAGCAGCACCTGAGAATGATCCCGACTGTTTGTGACGGAACCGCCATTGGGTCCAGCGGATGCTGCTCCTCTCCCTGCAGCTGATCCCGACGACCACGATTCACTCAGGAGTGACCTGAGGGCGGGAGGGGAGGGGGGAGGACGTATGTGATACTTTAAACAATCAAGATTTATTAAAAACAAAAAAGAGTGACTTGAAAGAGAGGACTCTTTCCAGACTATGAAGAAAATGGAGCAGGTGTGTCCGGGGTGGTGACCGTTCTTGGATGATATTGAGGATGAGGTGGACCCAGAAGCTTATGCACAGTTTTGTTTGGAACCAGAGCGTCAGCAGAAGCCGTCGGGTTAAACATCCACGGGTCAGAGTGAGGAAGCCGTGCAGGTGATGGTGGGAACCGGACGCAGGAAACCTGTCACACTTGTTCCCGATGGAGGACGCAGAGAGATGTCACTAATGTCCGCACCTCCAGTCGTGTGTAACACTCTCTGCCACTTAAACTCTATTCCCTAGAACTTAAAGAATAAAATAAAATAAAATAAAATAAACTGTGCTGCCCTAGCGGTTGCCCGAGCACCCCCCCCCCCAGGAGGTTGGGGTTTGATTCCAAGTCAGGGCACAGAGCTGGGTTGTGGGCTCGGTCCCATGTGGGGCATGCAGGAGGTAGCTGATCCATGATTCCCATCATGGATGTTTCTATCTCTCTCCCTCTCCCTTCCTCTCTGAAGTCAATAAAAATATATTTTAAAATAATAATAAAAATCAATCAAAGGAAAAATATTCTTGGACGAGGGTTGAAAAACAAACAAGCAAATAAAACCCCTGCATAAAAATAAATACATAATAAAACATAATAAAAGAAAGGGAACTGTTCTCAGCAAGCAAAAACCAAATCTTTGTTTTCCTCCCTCCCTTGCAGTCGGTGTGACTCTGGATCCAGAAACAGCGCATCCGGAACTAATTCTGTCCCAGGATCAGAGACAAGTGACGCGGGGCCCCCAGCGCGAGGCGGAACTCTCTCCCCGGAGGTTCATGGCCTCGCCCTGTATCCTGGGCCGGCAGAGCTTCGCGTCGGGGCGGCAGTACTTCGAGGTGGACGTGGGCGAGGGCACGGGCTGGGACGTGGGCGTCTGCCTGGAGAGCGTGCAGAGGCTCGGGGGGACCACGCAGAGGCCCGAGACCGGCTTCTGGGCCCTTCGGCTGTGCGCCAAGGACGGCTACGTGGCGCTGACCTGGCCGCGCACGCCCCTGCGCCTGCAGGAGCGGCCCCTGGTCGTCGGGGTTCTCCTGGACTGCGAGGTCGGGCTTGTGTCCTTCTACAGCGGGACCTCGGGCTCCCACATGTTCACCTTCCCCAGGGCCTCCTTCCCGGACGCCCTGCGGCCCTATCTCCAGGTTTACCCGTATTCCCCCCTGTTCCTGCCCAGCCTGGACAAGTGAGGAGAGCAGCAGCCGCCTGTGGCTGAACCAGGAGAGAATGAGTGTGAGGGCCGAGGGCGGGATTCGGGCCTGTGCTCTCCATGCTGTTTCCTGCCCCAGGGCAGTGCCGGGCTGGGAGTGGGTCCTGGATACATCTGCAGGGGGCGGGGGGCGGGGATGGACATACAGAGATAAAGCTGGGCTGGGTGGCTCAGTGGTTGAGTGTCCTCCTATGAACCAGGTCACGGTTCTATTCCTGCCCGGGTTACGGGCTCGATCCCCAGTTGGGCTGTGCAGGAGGCAGCCAATCCGTGATTTGTTTTCTTGTTGATGTTTCTGTCTCCCTCTCCCTTCCTCTCTGAAATCAATAAAATATATATATAAAAAAGACTGTAAAAATACCACAGGGGGTCAGTTTGACCCTTGGCCTCTCCATCCCCCTTTTCAGGATTCAGAGCTTTGATTCCCAGATGTCCTGGGGTGACTGGTGGGGTGACCGAGGTCAGGAGGCCCAAGTCCGCCCCAGTGTGTTTGACATGGTTTGAGCTTGGCGGCCGGGTGGGGTGGCGTGGGGCGGGATTTGCAGCAAAGAACAGAAAAACCAAACTAGCGGTGAGTCTTTTAGCCACTGACCCGTTGATTAATAATCTGAGCCACACCCGGCCCGTGCGGCTCAGTGGTTGAGTGTTGACCTATGAACTAGGGTCTCATGGTTCCATTCCCACCAAGGGCACATGCCCAGTTGGCACATTCCTCTCTGGTTGGGGCCCGTGCAGGAGGCAACCAATAGATATGCTTTTCTCACATCAATAATTCTGTCTTTCTATCTTTCACTCTCTCTGAAAATCAATGGAAAGCTCGGGTGAGAGGGAGGAAGGGAGGGAGGGAGGGAGAGAGGGAGGGAGGGAGGGAGGGAGAGAGGAAATGCTGAACTCCTGGAGGCAGGAACGCCCGCACAAGGCCTGGCAAGCTCTGTGCTCAGGGTCTGGACCGCAAGGCGACCCCATAAGGAGGCTGAATTGCTCACAAGCAATAACTTAAAAATATAATGAACGTGTTGGAAGGAACATGGCTGGCGCGTTGAGGAACAAATTGGCCTGCTTCCGTGGTTCTCGGGCTGTCAGGGGCGGGAGAAGGATCCCAAGATACCGCTGAGATCCACACTGTCCCTGCCCAGCTCCAAAGCAAGGAGCCATCTCTATACACGGGCACTGGGGTGCCCCGCTTAAGGCCTGAGAGCCCTCCCTGCCTACCTTCCTTCAACCTGAACATTAAAGACAGTTCTGCCTCATGGGGTTGCCAGGGCCCCGATGGGACTGCACATGCAAAGATACCGCATTCACTCGCGTCACGTCGCGTGTGCCCGATGGCTTCCCTCACGGGGAAATGGGGAGCCACCCCTGAAACCCAGGCTCTAGGTGCTTTTCAATCCAGGGTTTTCTAAAGGCAAATATTGAGGCTCACCGGTGAAGACGACTGGTTAGTGCGTGTGCCAGCCACGCCGGGTGTCCTTAATCTGGTCGATTTAGTTCTCGACGGCGTCTTGTCTGGAGAACTTTTCTACTTTCAGTTGGGCGACCGACCCAGGTGAGGGCCCCAGATTCCACAGAGCATCGCACGGTTCTGTGTCACACGGCTGTTCTTTTTAAAGCAAAAGGCAGAAACGAAACATGGTGTAACCATTGCATTGTTTGTCATGAAAACATTGAATATTCAAAAGTACATATATTTAACGACTTGTGATGTATAATACATATAAGTGGAAACTACATCACAGACAAAGAAAATATAGAAAAAAAACCCTATTAGAAAACTATCAGGAGATAAATATAAGGTTAATTTTCTATTATATGTAAGAAAAGAAACCCAATGGGACAAGAGACAGACAGACTGACTTCCCAGCGAATGAGCAAACACGTAAGTGCATATTCCAGTGGCCAATAACTAAAGAAAGGGAGTGACGGTGTGAAATAATTCTACACGCCGTGGACTTGCAGGAGAAAAACAGAAAGTGGTCTCCGATGGTCCTGGACTTGCCTGGGAGTCGGGGGAGTTGGGGGCCCCTGGACGCGGCGTCTTTGCAGTTACAGGAAAAATAAATGCCGCACGTGGTAGCCCGCGGCCGCCAGCGCCTTCCTGAGCGCGGCCAGCGACACGCCGCTGCGCTCCTTGGAGGCGGCGACCGCCTTGGTGATGAGCTCGGACACGGGCGGCCCGGACGCCTTGCGGCGCACCCCGGAGGGCTTCTTGGCCGCCTTCTTCTTCACGGGGGTCTTCTCCGCGGGGGGCGCGGCGGCGGGCGCGGCGGGAGCGGTCTCCGACATGGCGATGGCGATGGCGATGGCGATGGCGATGGCGAAGGTCTAGGAAGAGTTGGCGAAAGTGGCGAAGCGCCGATGGCGCAGCGCCGGCCGCCGCCGAATATATAGAGCGCAGGCGCGCGCTGATTGGTGCTCCCGCCGCCCTCGGCTGGCAGGCTCCGCGCCGCCGCCGCGCGCCCAAGTTGTGTTTGTTACACTTCACAAAAGGGGGGAAATATATTTTTATTGACTTCAGAGCTCGGTCGCCTCTCGATCCGGAGGTACTAGCCGTTCTTCTGTCGTCTGGCAGGGAGAGGGGAGCGTGGAGCGGTGTCACTGGCAGGACTGGCAGAAGGACGTGCCTTTGTGCCTGTCTCAACCGTGAGCCCTGTTGGCTGGTCAGGACCCATTTTTTAAAAAAAATATATTTTATTGATTTTTTACGGAGAGGAAGGGAGAGAGATAGAGAGTTAGAAACATCGATGAGAGAGAAACATCGATCAGCTGCCTCCTGCGCATCTCCTACTGGGGATGTGCCCGCAACCCTGGTACATGCCCTTGACCGGAATCGAACCTGGAACCCTTCAGTCCGCAGATGGACGCTCTATCCACTGAGCCAAACCAGTTAGGGAAGGACTCATTTTTAAAGCCTGTTTCGTACCCGCAGCAGTTCAGGTGGTTATCAATGAAGAAAGCCAATGAACACATGTTTGTCTCAAACACGGCAAAGGGCTACCTGGTTATCTAAGGGGAGTACCTCACTCACAGAGACGGCCATCTTAGCAAGTCACTCGGAGTCAGTAACTGAAGTTCACATCCTCGTCTGTGGGGTAACACACTTCAGAGCAGTGGGTAATGTGTCTTTAATATCACACTTTAAGTTAACTCAAACCTTTCAAACCTTATCAGCATTTTTAGACATTTTTTAAGCATTTTACACATTTCTAAATATTTACTGTAACAAGAACACAGGCTGGTCTTATCTAAAATAAACTGTGTTGGGAGTGAGGCCTGCTTCCAGCCCTGACCCCCGAAGCCATCCCGGGCCTGCAGGGTGGGGTGCACACAGCCCCCGGGAGCTCTTTGTGTGTTTGTGGGGGAGGGTCCTGGCAGTAAGCGCCAGCCACCTCTTCCCCACCCTCTCAGGGGACATTCTTGGAACAAAGGAGACACCAGGACCGCATCCCCCATCAGAACTGGGAGTCCTCATTCGCATGGGGTAAACCCCAGGTGGTCCTCTTTACCATGTGAATGCCCACGCTGACAGCCAGCGCCCTGAAATCTACCCTTGAGGTTCTTCTAATTACCAGGACCCCACGAGGATGGTCTCTCTCTGTCCGTATTCGTTTGGGATTTCTTGGACCATCTGACAGAGCAGCCTGGCTGTTGTGAAACTGACATGGAGCAGTTTGCAGAGACCCTGAGTGGCCAGGTCACCACGGACGAGGCTTTGGAAGAACTGGTGGACCTCATTTACCAACAGGCCACGTCCGAGCGCAAGCTCCGCTGCAGGGGAGCTCGCCTGTGTGGTTACCTGTCCCGTCACCTGACCATTCGCTCACAGAGGGGCAGCTTCTACGATGTGCTCCTTCAAAGGTGTCAGGCTGATTATGAGCCTAGAGATCAAGCTGCCAAGGGGGATGAAGCAGCTCGGAAACGATTCCACGGGTTCGTGCTCTTTCTGGGAGAACTTTATCTTCCGCTGGAGATCGAAGGGGCAAATACAGAGGCTCGAGTAGCTGCTCTCCGGGGGTTGTTGGAAGCCCTCCTTTCTCACCCTGTGGACGATAACCTAATTTGTGCAGTAAAATTCCTGAAGTTGACAGGGCCTGCCTTGGAAGATGCCTGGAAGGGAAATGGAAGGACGGACATGGACGAGGTTATCCAGAGGATTGGAAACATCGTCCTGGACGCGCCCTGCAGTGAAGGCGTGAGGCACATGCTCTTGAAGCTTGTAGAGCTCCGGTCAAGTGACTGGGGGAGAGGCCCTGTCACCTCAGCATCCGAGAGAAGCAGCACCTGAGAATGATCCCGACTGTTTGTGACGGAACCGCCACTGGGTCCAGCGGATGGTGCTCCTCTCCCTGTAGCTGTTCCCGGCGACCCGGATTCAATCAGGAGTGACCTGAGGGCGGGGTGTGTGTGTGTGTGTGTGTGTGTGTGTGTGTGTGTGAAGGACACATGTGATACTTTCAACAATAAAGATTTATTAAAAACTAAAAAGAGTGACTTGAAGAGCAGACTCTTTTTCCAGATTGTGAAGAAAATGGAGCAGGTGTGTCCGGGGTGGTGACCGTACTTGGATGATATTGACGATGAGGTGGACCCAGAAGCTTATGCACAGTTTTGTTTGGAACCAGAGCGTCAGCAGGAGCCGTCGGGTTAAACGTCCACGGGTCAGAGTGAGGAAGCCGTGCAGGTGATGGTGGGAACCGGAACGCAGGAAACCTGTCACACGTGTACTCGATGGACGATGCAGTGATGTTACCAATGTCCGCACCTTCAATTGTGCGTAACACGCTCTGCCACAGTAAACTCTATTCCCTAGAACTTAAAGAATAAAATAAAATAAAATAAAATAAACTATGTTGCCCACCGGTTTGGTTCAGTGGATAAAGGTTTGGCCTGTGGATAGAAGGTTCCCAGGTTCTATCTTGGTCCAGGGCAGGTAACTCTACCAATCAATGTGTGTGTGTTTCTCTCTCCCCCCTCCCTTCCTCTCTCTAAAAAATCATTGGAAGCCCGGCCGGTGTGGCTCAGTGGTTGAGCATCGACCTATGAACCAGGAGGTCAGGGTTCGATTGCAGGTCAGGACACATGCCTGGGTTGTGGGCTCTATCTCCAGTGTGGGGCATGCAGGAGGCAGCGGATCAATGATTCTCTCTCATCATTAATGTTTCTATCTCTCTCTCCCTCTCCCTTTCTCTCTGAAGTCAATAAAAAATTTATTTTTAAAAATAAAATTTTTTATTTTAAAATTTCTAAAACTAAACAAAAAGATAAATAGAAAAAACCCAACACATATAGCCTATACATGTAGAATATGCATATATATGTAGACATGTACATATATGTATGTGTATGTACAGACACACACATACAAACATAGAAATGTGAGAGCCGAGGCCCACACGGACCCAGGAGCACACGCAGCACTGGGATCAGTTTCATACACGTGATTCATTTAAGAAGCGCTGTCTTAGGACAATGGAAGAAAATTGTGAGAGAGAATCACTGACCAGCTGCCTCCTGCACGCCCCACACTGGAGATCCACCCCACAACCCTGGCCTGTGCCCTGACCGGGAATTGAACCCTGACCTCCTGGTTCATAGGATTTCGCTCAACCACTGAGCCACACCAGCCAGGCTGCGAGCTCACATCTCTGCCTGCCTACTCACTGCCTATTCTGGGTGTGCCAGCCGGCAGGCATGTCCATACTCTCTGTTTTTTCCCTTTAAAATTTCATGCAATTTGTGCCTATGACTGAGTTTGCTTAGGACGAATAAAAACAGCTTGTTGCATCAAATTGCCAGAAAAAAGTGTTGTATGTAGCTGTGGCCTGGGCACACTGTCTGTGTGTCCACATCCGTGTGCTGAGTCAGCACAGGCACCATTGGTATAGGTCACCCTTAGGGTCTTTACATAAGCAGCCGAGTGACCTGGCCCTGCTGACCCCGCACCCAGATTGTCCGCTGTTCCCTGGCCTGGGTATAAATATTTCTCTCTTTCCACAACCATCACAGCTACAGAGCTGACAGAGTCCTGAGTAGGGGTGATGTGGGGATTGAGAAAATGAAAGAGACAGACACAGACACAGTCGGCAAAGCTGGGACCACGTGGGACAGCTGCTCTCTGATGGAGAGACAGGGACTCAGAGCTGATACAGTGCGTTTATGTTATACAGTAGGATACCAGGAAGCTTTCCTGAAATTTAAGATGAAGAAAATATGTGCATTCTTGTGGCTTCTTTGTAATCATCACTTCTGCGTGGGCCCAGATAATCGAGTTTGTTCCTGGTGCCTGGTTGGATTTAGATAATGAAATCCACCCCCTGGGCACCTGAGCTAAAGGTCAGAACGACAACACACCTGCCTCCAGCAAGGTTTGTTTCCAGGGCATGGCTCTGCCAGGCGTCACTGGATTCAGACCACACCAGCTCGAGGGCCTTTCCAGGCGCTCTCTACACTTGAAAATGGGCTGTCATGGTTTTTTTTCAATGTCCCCTGACCTGGACCCCCGGCAGCTTGTCACCCACCATCGACACGGGGTCACCAGGCGGCCTTGGGCCCTGGCTCCAGGGTGGGAAAGGGGACGTCTAACCCTCGGGTGAGCGGGGCTGGGTGAACCCATGTAATCGTCCCCGTCTGCCTTCTCTCCCGCCCCGTCTGCCAGGGACCCACACCCAGAGCTCTCCGGGGCGAACCTTCACCTCATGGCGGGGACTGTGGCCTCAGGGTGAGGTCCAGGCCCGCTGTTCTGTGGTCCGGGAAGAAGGCAGCAGAGTCAGTGGAGCCCCAGCTTCCCTCCTCCTCTCAGGGATCCTCACAAGGGAGCCCAAGGCCTGGAAGGAGCCGGGGAGCCCTGTGGGGGGAGGGGCCGGGGAGCCCTGTGGGGGGAGGAGCCGGGGAGCCCTGTGGGGGGAGGGGCCGGGGAGCCCTGTGGGGGGAGGGGCCTGGGAGCCCTGTGGGGGGAGGATCTGGGGAGCCCTGTGGGGGGAGGATCTGGGGAGCCCTGTGGGGGGAGGACCCCGGGGAGCAGCCAGGAGGCTGCGGATTCACTGCTGGGCTCAGCCCTGGGCACCTCCCTGTGGCCTGACCTTCCCAGCAGGTCACAGGGCTGAGCAGTGAGCCTGCCCAACCGCCAGGGGGCACCCGCGAGGCAGAGAGGAGAAGCCTGGGGAGGAGCTGCCCCACAGGAAGCTGAAGGGGTCACAGCCTGGGGGAGGGGATGGCTCAGTGGACAGAGCCCAGCCTGTGGACCTCAGGGCATCGGTTGTGATTCCCGGTCAAGTGCCCGAACCTCGTCAATGTGTCTCTCACATGGACGTTTCTCCCTCTCTCCCCTCGTCTCCCTTCTTCCTTCCTCTCTCGCTAAAAAATCGATGGAAAAAACATCTTTGAGGAGAAACCAAGATGGCGGCATCGGTTAATGCCGGAGATTGCTGCCTCAAACAACCACTTCAAAAAACAACTAAAAGACGGAACGGACATCATCCAGAACCACAGGAAGGCTGGCTCAGTGGAAATTCTACAACGAGGAGGAAAGAGAATATCATACCCAGACTCAGAGGAGGCGCAGTGCTGAAGTGAAATACTCAGTTTCGGAGTGCGCGCGGAGCGGGCTGGAGGCGGAGGGCGCGGTTGTTGTTTTCAATCGGGAGGGAGTTTCAGACTCTGAGCTCCAGATCCGGGCGAGTCTCTAGGGACCCAGACTCAAACGGGAGAAGTGGGACTGTCTGGCTTCGGTCGGAAATCGAAGGCAGCTTTCTCTCCGAGGTTTGCAGCGGTTGCTGGGACTCTGAGAGGCAGAGCCTCTGGGGACGGAACTGAGAGCCGCCATAACTGCTCTCTCCAGCCCCCCCTGTATATCCCCGGGGACCCGCCCCGCCCAAGCCCTTCGCAGAGCCATTTGCCGGATAGCCTCAGGCAAACGCTAGATTAGCACCGCCCTAGAGATCCAGCACAGAAGCCCTCCCACTGCAGACACAGCGGACTCTCATAGCCAGTTAGCCGGGAGGTCAAATCACCCCCGGTATTGCCGTCAACAATCAAGGCTTAACTACAACAAGACTGCGCACAAAGACCACTAGGGGGTGCACCAAGAAAGCATAAAAAATGCGGAGACAAAGAAACAGGACAAAACTGTCAATGAAGGATATTGAGTTCAGAACCACACTTTTAAGGTCTCTTAAGAACTGTCTAGAAGCCGCCGATAAATGTAGTGAGATCCTCAAGAAATCTAATGAGACCCTCGATGTTATGATAAAGAACCAACTAGAAATTAAGCATACACGGACTGAAATAACGAATACTATACAGACTCCCAACAGCAGACCAGAGGAGCGCAGGAATCAAGGCAAAGATTTGAAATGCAAAGAAGCAAAAAACACACAACCAGAAAAGCAAAATGAAAAAAGAATCCGAAAACACGAAGATAGTGTAAGGAGCCTCTGGGACAGCTTCAAGTGTACCAACATCAGAATTATAGGGGTGCCAGAAGATGGGAGAGAGCAAGATATTGAAAACCTATTTGAAGAAATAATGACAGAAAACTTCCCTCACCTGGTGAAAGAAATAGACTTACAGTCCAGGAAGTGCAGAGAACCCCAAACAAAAAGAATACCAAAGAGGACCACACCAAGACACATCATAATTAAAATGCCAAGAGCAAAAGACAAAGAGAGAATCTTAAAAGCAGCAACAGAAAGAAAATCAGTTACCTACAAGGGAATACCCATACGACTGTCAGCGGATTTCTCAACAGAAACTTTGCAGGCCAGAAGGGAGTGGCAAGAAATATTCAAAGTGATGAATGCCAAGAACCTACAACCAAGATTACTTTATCCAGCAAAGCTATCATTCAGAATTGAAGGTCAGATAAAGAGCTTCACAGATAAGGAAAAGCTAAAGGAGTTCATCACCACCAAACCAGGATTATATGAAATGCTGAAAGGTATCCTTTAAGAAGAGGAAGAAGAAGAAAAAGGTAAAGATACAAATTATGAACAACAAATACACATCTATCAACAAGTGAATCTAAGAATCAAGTGAATAAATAATCTGATGAACAGAATAAACTGGTGAATATAATAGAATCAGGGACATAGAAAGGGAATGGACTGACTATTCTTGGGGGGGAAAGGGGTGTGGGAGATGCGGGAAGAGACTGGACAAAAATCGTGCACCTATGGATGAGGACAGTGGGTGAGGAGTGAGGGCGGAGGGTGGGGCGGGAACTGGGAGGAGGGGAGTTATGGGGGGAAAAAAGAGGAACAAATGTAATAATCTGAACAATAAAGATTTAATTAAAAAAAAATCTTTGAGTGAGGATTGGAAAAAAAAAGAGTAAGTGTAGGTGGGGCGGACAGTCTTTTTTAAAAAAATATCTTTTTTATTGATTTAAGAGAGGAAGGAGGAGAGAGAAACATCAATGATGAGAGAGAATCATCCATTGGCTGCCCCTGCTCGCCCCCCAGTGGGGATCAAGCCCCAACCTGGACAAATGATCAGGAATGGAACTGTGAGCTCTTGGCTTGTAGGTAGGTCAACACTCAACCCCTGACACAGGGCCTGCGCCCTGCAGTCCTTTTGCTCTAAGTGCAGCCCCCACCGTGGCCTAGGGCCTCCCATGGCTCCCAGCTCCCAGCTGGGTGCTGACTGTTGGTGATGCTGACCAGTGTCTGACCCTCCAGAGCGACGCTGAGGGGGAGAATGAGGACGGAGGTCACCAGCCCTTTCCACCGCCCCCTTCAGAGCAGTGATGAGAGAATTGGGACCTAAAAAATAGCAAAAAATAAAATAACATCCACCTAGAAAATGAGGGACCCTGAGGGAGTTGTTCGGAAGAGCTGCTGTCGGGCCTGTGTGCTGTGCTGCTCTCCGACCTCAGACACTCCTGCTGGCCCAGAGCCCAGGTCCCTGAGGACTTGTCCCCTTTCCTGTGGCTGTAGAAGGACTTCTTCCCACCTCTCCCTGCCCTGCGGGGCCCAGCCCAGCCACGTGCAAACCCTTAGGGGCATTTCCTGGTTTCCTCCCCAAACCCAGCAGCGCCCCGCCCCCACCACTGGCAGTTTCATTTTCACTTGAATCCTGCCCAGGACTTGGGAAGTGGCTGCTCCAGGCAACTCCCGCCAGAGAGTGTGTGGCATCTGTGGTGGCCCAGGTACTGGGGTGGGACCAGGCAGGTCTCCCAGGGAGGATCGTGACTCCCCGTGTGTGGACGGGAGGGGGTGCGGTGGGGGGCCCCCCGGGCGGCAGGGAGGGACCTGTTTCAGATATCAGGGCCTCTGGACTCTGTTCCTCCAGTAGACCTTCCCGAGGCCGCTTTTGCTTCCACCAAACTCCAAGCTGATCCAACCTCAGGAGATCCTGGTGCGAGGCGGGGGGAGTGGAGGCCGGGACAGGCCCCCGGAGCCCCTGGAGGGCAGGTCCTATCTTGGGGACACAGCCCAGCCACAGAGGACCCCAGTGTGTCCCCCGGAAATCACCCCCCCAGGAAGGGACTCTGAGCAGAAACTCTCTGTGGCTCCGGGGGCTGCCCTGGCTACAGAGAAAGAGGGGTCCAGTGGTCTCAGGGATTCCTGGTTGTGTTCCCTCCATTGTCAGGTCCCAGGAAGTTGGATCTGCAACTGGCCCACCTCCCTCTGCTCCCAGGAGGGCAGGCCTGGCTCTCCAGGAGCTGCAGCCCCGGGCCAGGGTCCCAGGGTCCCTCCTTCGCTCTCTGGTTCCTGGGTCCTCCCTGGAGGACCTTGAGGTCTTGTCTTCCCATTTGCTCCCCTTCCCCTCGTCCCCCAGGGTTGCAGGTGCCTGGAACTTCTCCTGGGAGACAGTCCTGGCTGGAGGAGGAGAGAGGTCACCTGACTGGGCCTCCACGACCCGCCCCTCTGCCCAGCCCAGGCCTTTCCTTTATTTAAAAAAATGTTTGTATGGATTTCAGAGAGGAAGGGAGAGGGAGAGAGAGACACATGATGTTTCTCCTGCACGCCCCCCACTGGGGATCGAGCCTCTAAGCCAGGCATGTGCGCTGACCGGGAATGGAACCCTGACCTCCTGGTCCAAAGGCGGACGCTAAACCACTGAGCCAGCCGGCCGGCGCCTCTCAGGGGAGGGAGGCTGGAGGGACTCACTGGGTCTCAGGTGCCGTGTTTACCTCGGGTTCATCCTGGGTGGGTTTCCCTGGAGGAGATTTTTTCTTTCTTTTCCAGAGAAAGGAAGGGAGGGCGGCAGGGGGGGGGGGGGGGAGAGAGAGAGAGAGAGAGAGACCGCGGGAATGGAACCCGGGACACGTCAGTGTGCAGTGGACGCTCTAACTACTGAGCCCGCTGCCCAGCCTCTGTTCTCTGTGGGGGGCCGTCGGGGGAATGGCTGGGGGTGCAGAGGCTCAGCAGGTCCATAGTTGTGGTTCAGTGGAATCTTCCTGATCCACCCAGTTCCTTAAGTTGCAAAGAAACGGTCCTGGAACCAGTTATTCCAATTATTCCTCATGTTCCTCAGGTGGGAGAGTCCCCCAGGCCCGCACTGGGTCCCTGGGGGCATCCTGCTTCGCCCTCGCCCTCCCTGTGTCTGGGCTCCAACACCAGCTTCCCCCTGATGGATGGTCTCTATTGGGGCTTCCTGCAGCCCCCGGTGGCCATGAAGCAATGGAAATGTGACCAGTCCTGCCCGGTGCGGCTCAGTGGAGAGAGCATTGGCCTGAGGACTGAAGGGTCCTGGGTTCGAATGCGGTCAAGGGCACGTACCTGGGTTGCAGGTTCCATCTCTGTCCCTGGTCAGAGTGCATGTGGGAGGCAGCCCATGGGTGTGTGTCTCTCTCTGTCTCCCCCCCTCCCTACCACTCTCTCTAAAAATCAATGGAAAAACATCCTCAGGTGAGGCTGCATCTGCATGTTAAATTCTGTTTCATTTTAGTGAATGGAATTGGGGTCCCCACCCTAGTCCACAGGACAGCTGCACTCTCTGCAGCGTCCACATTGCAGACCTTTCTTCCCTCCAGATAAGACCTCCAGGCCCGTGGGGCCTGGCAGCCGGGCGCCCACAGGAAGCTGGGGTGGGTGTGCCGCCTCCGCTGTGGGAGCCTCTGGGTCCGACATTGCAGCTTCCGGCAGAGGCATGGCGTCGGCCTCCGCCAGCAAGAAGATGAGGGAGGAGGCCACCTGCTCCATCTGCCTGCACCTGATGGCCGAGCCCGTGAGCATCAGCTGTGGCCACAGCTACTGCCAGGCCTGCCTCTTGGGCTTCATGGGCCCGCCCTCCTCCTCTCGGAGCCAGCAGGGCACGAAGACCTTCTCCTGCCCACAGTGCCGGGCTCCCTTCAAAAGACACAGCCTGCGGCCCATCAAGCAGCTGGGCAGCCTCATCGCAGCCCTCCAGGAGCAGGAGCAGGAACCGTCTTGCCAGGAGCACGGAGAGCGGCTGCACCTCTTCTGTGAGGACGACGGCCAGCTCATCTGCTGGCGCTGCGAGCGCGATGGGCGGCACAAGGGCCACAATACAGCGCTCCTGGAGGACGCGAGCCCCGGCTACAGGGTGAGTGACCCCTCCTGTGCCCCGAGACCCCCCTCATCCAGCCCAGTGCCCCCTCCTGCACCCCGAGACCCCCCTCATCCACCCCATTGACCCCTCCTGCACCCCGAAACCCCCCTCATCCAGCCCAGTGCCCCCTCCTGTGCCCCGAGACCCCCCTCATCCAGCCCAGTGCCCCCTCCTGCACCCCGAGACCCCCCTCATCCAGCCCAGTGCCCCCTCCTGCACCCCGAGACCCCCCTCATCCAGCCCAGTGACCCCTCCTGTGCCCCGAGACCCCCCTCATCCAGCCCAGTGCCCCCTCCTGCACCCCGAGACCCCCCTCATCCAGCCCAGTGACCCCTCCTGCACCCCGAGACCCCCCTTATCCAGCCCAGTGACCACTCCTGCACCCCGAGACCCCCTTATCCAGCCCAGTGCCCCCTTGGGTGCCAATACCCCCATCATCTAGCCTGGAGTCCAAGGTTGGGACCCTGAATTCTAGCTTTCCTTGCGGGGTTCTTTCTTCCAGCAGGAGGTAGGGTGGGGGGTGGAAAGTGGGGGGGAAGAGAGTGGCGGGAAGGTTGAGGGTGGGTCCTCCCTGAGTCAAGTCCTGGCTGTCCAGCCCCACCTTCCCCGGACGGTCAGATTCATGTAGGTCCCGGCTGCGATGAACTGGTCCCAGCTCCAGTGCCCCATGCGCTCCAACCCACACATGCATGGTGTTCTTTTTTGTGTGATAATCCTCACCTGAGGATATTTTCCATTGATTTTTAGAGAGAGTGGAAGGGAGGGGGATAGAGAAAGAGAAACATCGATCTGAGAGAGACATGGATTGGTTGCCTCCTGCAGGCGCCGCAACCAGGGCCAGGAAACGGCAGCCGAAATTCGTGCCTTTGACTGGAATGGTACTGGGATGAGGCTGTAGCCACTGAGCCCGACCAGCCAGGGCCGCACCTGCACGTTTTGTTGCCGCTTGGGTCAATGTAATGAGATGGTGCGTGTGCACGGGCGCCTGGGGGAGTGAAAGCACAGGGACCAGGAGCCACCTCGTGGGCAGCCTGCCGTCCAGTAGGGAAGACGCACCAGTGGAAGGACTGCCCGGCCTCCATGGCCTGGGGGGTGGGAAGGGGGACACTGGGTGCGGGTGGTCCCGGGGAGCCTCCCAGAGGTGAGTCCTGAAGGAGCCTGAACACTAACCATGCATCCCGGCCAGCGTGGCTCAGTGGTTGAGCATCGTCCTATGAACCTGGAGGTTCCTGTTGGATTCTCGGTCGGGCACACGTCCCGGTTGTGGCTCGCTCCCTAGTAAAGGGTGATCAGGAGGCAGCTGATCCATGATTCTCTCTCATCAATGATGTTTCTCTCTCTCCCTCCGAAAAATAATAACAATATATGCATACTAGAGGCCCAGTGCACGAAATCTATGCATTGGGGGTGGGGTTTCCTTCAGCCCAGCCTGCATCCTCTCCTATCTGGGAACCCTTGAGGGATGCCCAACTGCCCATTTAGGCCCCACAGGGATGGGGCCTAAACGGGCAGTCAGGCATTCCTCTCACAATCCAGGACTGCTGGCTCCCAAACGCTCTCCTGCCTGGTGGCCTGATCACCCCCTAACCACTTCTCTGCCAGCCAGATTGATGCCTAAGTGTTCCCCTGCCGGCCCAGTCGCCCCCAATTACCCTCCCTTGCTGGCCTGATTGCCCCAAATGACCTTCCCCTGCAGGCCATCAAGTGTGTTGGAGGGATGGTCAATTTTCATACTGGTCACGACCAATTTGCATATCAAGGCTAATTAGCATATCATCTCTTATTGTGTTGGTGTGATGGTTAATTTGCATACTGGTCATGACTAGTTTGCATATTAGGTCACAACTAATTAGCATATCCAGTTGTGACTGTGGCATTGTGACCAATTTGCATATTACCCATTTATTAGTATAGATTTTTAAAAATAAAAAAAAATTAACAGTATGTAGGAGTGCTGAGAAAAGAGAGGGCTCTCCTGTGAGAGGGCCCAAGGCAAATGCACAGCCAGGGGGCGGGGGCATGTGGAGAAAGGCAGGTGTCGCCGAGCCTTCCATCAGCTCAGTCGAGGTCCCCACACAGGCTGTCCTGTCCATTAGCCGAGAGAAGGGTCAGGGTGACAGGGACAGAGAGAGTCCCGGGCACTGACATCCAGGTTCTTCCCGTCAGAGGGAGAAGGGAGATGTGTTCAGCAAGGGTCACTCCATTTCTTCCTCCAGGAAAAGCTCCAGGAAGCGGTGAGGAAACTGAGGCAACTGGAAGAGGAATGCACGAACCAGAAAGCTTTCACGGCGAAGCAGATCGCCCAGTGGAAGGTGAGAATGGGGGGCTCTCGCCTTGGCCGCTGGAGGGCACTCCCCTGGGCTCAGGTGCAGTCCCCCCCAGTCGGGCGTGTGCAGGAGGCAACAGTCCATGTCTCTCTCACATTGATGTTCCTCTCTCTCTCCCCACCCTCCCTCCCTGCCACTCCCCTCTCTCTAACAATCAATGGAGAGAATATCCTGGGCTGAGGATTAACGACAACAACAGCAAAAAGAACAGGGATTTCTTGGTGTCAAGCTCTGTCTGTCCTGGCGCTTAGGCGTAGGGTCTGATCGGGCGAAGCACAGTGATGGTGTCACTGAACCGGAGCAGCAGGTGGAACCCCGAGAAGAAGCCATTGCCCTCCTTGTCCACATTAATGAGAGCTCATCCCCTCCCCCCCTCCTTCCAGCAGGAAATGGCCAGGAGGCCAGTGCCTGTCAGAGCCGAAGAATCACATGCCTATTTCCCGAGAGCCGTCCCCACTGGCTTTCCAACTTTCTTTACTTTATTTTATATTTGTATTTATGACAGAGAGGAAGGGAGAGATAGAAACATCCAAGAGGAGAGAGAATCATGGATCGGCTGCCTCCTGCACGCCCCCCACTGGGGATGGAGCCTGAAACCCGGGCCTGTGTCCTGACCGGGTTCCAATGTGACCTCCTGGGTCACAGGTGGACGCTCAACCACTGAGCCCCGCCGGCCGGGCTGAGCGTCCTCTCTTGACTGTAGGAGAAGATAGAGGCTCAGAGACAGAAAATCCGGGCGGAATTCCAGAACCTGCACAGCTTCCTGAGGGAGGAGGAGAGGTCGTTCCTGTGGCGACTGGAGAGCGAGGAACAGCGCACTCTGCAGAGACTGAGGGTCAGTGAGGCCGACCTGGACCAGCAGAGCCGCCAGCTCGAGAGCCACATCCGGGAGCTGGAGGAGCGATGCCAGGGCTCCGCCCAGAAGCTGCTGCAGGTGAGGCTCTGCCCTGGGGGGACGCCAAGGAGGCGGGTCCTGAGCTGTTGGGGGGTTTGGGGGGGGGCCATGGGAACAGAGGACCGCCTGCCTGGCTCAGCGGTGGCACATCAGTGTGGGGGAGTCATAGGCAGATTTCTCTTATTCTTATTTAGTCATTTTGTTAATCCTCATTCCAGGATATTGTTCCATTGTTTTTAGAGAGAGTGGGAGAGGGAGAGACAGAGAGAGAAATGTCGATGGGAGAGGGACACAGTGATTGGTTGCCTCCACAGGTGCCCAGCTCTAGGCCTGAGATCAAGCCTGCAACCAAGGCGTGTGCCCTTGACCTGAATTGAACTTGGGACCCTTCAGTCCACAGGCCGACGCCCTATCCACTGAGCTAAACCAGCTAGAGCATAAAGGCAAATTTCTTTTATTTTTACTTCTTATCATTTTTTAACGTGTTTTTTTTTTTTTTAATTTGATTTGAGAGAGGGAGAGGGAGAGAGAGATAGAAACATCAATGATGAGAGAGAATCATTGATTGAGCCTGCAACCTGGACATGTGCCCTGATAGGGGATCATACCCTGACCTCCTGGTTCATAGGTTGATGTTCAACCACTGAGCCACACCAGCTGGGCTAAGGCTATTTTTTTTTTAGAATATTGAGCAGAATATAAAATCTACAAGGTGGCTTCCACTGGTCTCCAGCGTTCTATGTATAAATCAGAAAATTGTGATTTGGCTCAAAAATCCAATGTTGCTGAATGGATAGAGCATCAGCCTGAGGACCGAAGGGTGCAGGGTTCCATTCTGGTCAAGGTCATATACCTTGATTGCCGGCTCCTCCCTGGTCCAGGCCGTGGTCAGGGCTTGTGCAGGAGGCAACCAGTCAATGTGTTTCTCTCACATCGATGTTTCTCTCTGTCTCTCCCTCCCAGTCCCACTCTTCCTAAAAATCAATTGAAAATTATCCTCGGGTAATGATCAAGAAAAATGAAATCCCCCCTGTAGGTAGAGGGGGTGGGTTCCTCGGCCGATCAGGCTCAGGGGATGGCTTCCGCTCCCACGTGCCTGTGTCCAGGGGCACAGAATCCTGAAGGTCAGGCGATGGCGGGGACCAGGTGGGGCCACTGCATGAGTGATGGTGAGCCTGGCCTGATGGGCCCTCCTTCTGTTTATGGTAAATCATCGAATGAGATACAAGAGGCCTTAATGAGCCAATTAACTAGGAGTTGTTTATTGCGTGGGGCCCAGAGGGAGGTGTCTCTTTCCAAATCTCTGAGCAACTCATTCAGGAAGTTTCCCGTCTTTATACCTTTTGAGCCTCTTTGTTTGCAGATATTACAAAGGGCTCTCTGTGAGTTAATGTTACAGACAGTTGTAACCTTGAATACATAATGAGTTTGTGCACGGCACAATTCTTACCAGGATTAGTCTATTTTAGGCTATTCCATTGGGTGGCTAGTTGGCAAGGTCAGACAGTTAAGTTGATCTTTTTCTATTATTTGAACTAAAAACAAGTTGTTTTACAGAATAACAGACTGTCTTAAAGTGACTGAGTTTATAATGACAGAGTTACAGAACAAGGGATTATCTCACAGCAGCAGAGAATTTTAACAGCAGTTTTCTATACGAGATGGAGGTTACTATGCTTCACTTCCAGCCTCAGGAAGGTGAACCTCCCTGGCCGCTGCTGGTCCCAGGTCCGGCGGGTGGAAGTGGATGGCGCCCCTCAGGGTGACCATGTCTCATGGCTGCTCTGCCCCCGGGTCACTGTGGCCGCCACCTCAGGGCCCAGTCTGGGAGCCGTGCACCCACCCACCCCTGAGGCTTTGTGACCGGGGGCATCTGGCCAGTGCGCTCTGAGGGAGGTGAGGCCAGAGGGAGGATTGGGGGCTCCCCACACACCTAAGCAGCCGCAGGGTCCCCAGCACCTCAGCACTGAGGGTGCCAGGCTCAGAGGCTGAGAGGTGTCCTGCTGTGCTGACCGTCCAGAGGCCGGAGTGGGGATCGTTGCCCGGGGTGTCCATCTGTTACCCGGAAACCCCCTGGTGGGCTTGGCTGCCTGTCGCTGTGTCCAGTCACGAAGGCAGGGATGAGTCCCATAAGGCGTTTACTGAGAAGGGGCTCACCCAGCAGACAGGGCGCTTACACCCATCGAGTCCTGTCTCCCAGCAGGTGCAGGGACCGGACTACAAAGGGGAAGGGGCTGGGTGCTGTGTGCAGCCCTGGGGGCCTCAGCCGTCAGCTCTTGTCCTCAGTCCCCAGGCGATGAGATGCTGTTGGTCAGATGGTGTTTTGGCTCCTGGTGGGTGGACCTGATCCTGCTCATGGGTTCTGCTCGCTGGACTCACAGCTCAGTCACCCCCCCAGTCACTTCGCACAGGGCTTGGGAAGGAAACTTAACAAAAACTTAACCCCTGTTCACATGTAAGAAACTCACCCCCTGTTCCCATAAGTGTGTGTGTCCTAAGATTTAAAAGAACAGGATTGCTTTGCAGAGTCATCCAGGTGCTCTCCCGACCAGGGTGTAAGCCCCATCCCATCCGAACCCAAGGCCGGGCCTGCCCTGCGCCTCTGGGAGGGAGCAGCACCCCATCAGCATGGTGTTCCCACACTCACCTGTGCCTTTTTTCCCCACAGGACGTGAAGAGCGCCCTGAGCAGGTGAGTGCTGAAGGGAGGACGAGGGGGAGTGGGGTGTGGAGCCGCGGGGTGCCCCCTGAGCAGCTCTGGTCTCTGCTCCCCCAGGAGCCAGGCTGTGCGGCTGGAGATGCCGGAGGCCCTGTCCTTGGAGGTTGAGACTGAGTGCGACGTCCCCGAGCTCTATTTTGACCTGAGGAAACGTTTGAGGAGCCATCAAGGTACGTGAGGGCGATGCTGAGCCCCCAGGGGACCGAGCTCAGTGCAACCTCCACCCCACGGGTCACGGGGACAAATGGGAGGGTTTCTACTTTATGTTCACAGCCCTGTGCTCCCCTCGCTGGTCCGAAACAACGCTCAGACTCCAGAGCACAGGCTGGTCTTCTCTCAAAGAAACTGTGTTGGCAGTGGGGTTTGCCTCCAACCTCGACCCTGAAAGCCACCTGGGGCCCGCGGCGTGCATGATCACGGCCCACAGGAGCCCTTTGTGTGTCCGCAAGGGAGGATCCTGGGAGGAAAATTGCAACCACCCCTTTCCCACCCTCTGAAGGGACATTCTTGGAACAAACGAGACCCCAGCAGAACTTGGAGTCCAAGTCTCCGGGTGGTCGTCGCTCCCCTGTGAACGCCCACGCTGACAGCCAGCGCCCTGAATTCTACCCTTGAGGTTCTTCTAATTACCAGGACCCTGCGAGGATGGTCTCCCTCTGTCCGTATTCGTTTGGGATTTCTTAGACCATCTGACAGAGCAGCCTGGCAGTTGTGAAACTGACATGGAGCTGTTTGCAGAGACCCTGAGTGGCCGGGTCACCACGGACGAGGCTTTGGAAGAACTGGTGGACCTCATCTACCAACAGGCCACGTCCGAGCCAAGGTTCCGCTGCAGGGGAGCTCGCCTGTGTGGTTACCTGTCCCGTCACCTGCCCATTCGCTCACAGAGGGGCAGCTTCCGCCAAGTGCTCCTTCAAAGATGTCAGGCTGATTATTGGCCTATAGATCAAGCTGCCAAGGGGGATGAAGCAGCTCGGAAACGATTCCATGGGTTCGTGCTCTTGCAAGGAGATCTTTATCTTCGCTGAAGATCAAAGGGGATTATGGACAGCCTCAAACAGCTGCTCTCCGGGGGTTGTTGGATGCCCTCCTTTCTCACCCTGTGGATGATAACCTAATTTGTGCAGCAAAATTCATGGAGTTGACAGGGCCTGGGTTGGAAGATGCCTGGAAAGCACAAGGAAGGACGGACATGGACGAGGTTATCCAGAGGATTGGAAACGTCGCCCTGGACGCGCCCTGCAGTGAAGACGTGAGGCTGATGCTCTTGAAGCTTGTAGAGCTCCGGTCAAGTAACTGGGGGAGAGGCCCTGTCACCTCAGCATCCGAGGGAAGCAGCACCCGATGGTTTTGTGACTGAACCCCCATCGTGTCCAGTGGATGGTGCTCCTCTCCCTGCAGCTGATCCCGCGACCACGATTCATCTCAGGAGTGACCTGAGGGCAGGAGGGGATGGGGGAGGGGGAAGAACATATGTGATGCTTTCAACAATCAAGATTTATTAAAACAAAAAAAAGAGTGACTTGAAAGAGAGGACTCTTTCTGCAGACTGTGAAGAAAATGGAGCAGGTGTGTCCGGGGTGGTGACCGTACTTGGATGATATTGACGATGAGGTGGACCCAGAAGCTTATGCACAGTTTTGTTTGGAACCAGAGCGTCAGCAGAAGCCGTCGGGTTAAACGTCCACGGGTCAGAGTGAGGAAGCCGTGCAGGTGATGGTGGGAACCGGACGCAGGAAGCCTGTCACACTTGTTCCCGATGGAGGACGCAGAGAGATGTCACTAATGTCCGCACCTCCAGTCGTGTGTAACACTCTCTGCCACAATAAACTCTATTCCCTAGAACTTAAAGAATAAAATAAAATAAAATAAAATAAACTGTGCTGCCCTAGCGGTTGCCCGAGCACCCCCCCCCCCCCCAGGAGGTTGGGGTTTGATTCCAGGTCAGGGCACATGGCTAGGGCACATTGCGGGCTCGATCCCGTGTGGGGCATGCAGGAGGCAGCTGATCCATGATTCCCATCATGGATGTTTCTATCTCTCTCCCTCTCCCTTCCTCTCTGAAGTCAATATATATATATATATATATAATTTTTTTTTTAAATATGTTTTATTGATTTTTTTTTACAGAGAGGAAGGGAGAGGGATAGAGAGTTAGAAACATCGATGAGAGAGAAACATCGATCAGCTGCCTCTTGCACACTCCCTACTGGGGATGTGCCCGCAACCAAGGTACATGCCTTTGACCAGAATCAAACCTTGGACCCTTGCGTACATTAGGTGCGTACGCAGGCTGATGCTCTATCCACTGAGCCAAACAGGTTAGGGCAATAAAAATATATTTTAAAAAAATAATAAAAATCAATCAATCAATGGAAAACCATCCTTGATCGAGGGTTGAAAAACAAACAAACAAACAAGCATAAAATTTATGCATAAAAATACATAGTAAAACATGAAAGAAAGGGAACTGTTCTCAGCAAGCAAAAACCAAATCTTTGTTTTCCTCCCTCCCTTGCAGTCGGTGTGACTCTGGATCCAGAAACAGCGCATCCGGAACTAATTCTGTCCCAGGATCAGAGACAAGTGACGCGGGGCCCCCAGCGCGAGGGTGATCTCTCTCCTTGGAGGTTCATGGCCTCACCCTGCATCCTGGGCCGGCAGAGCTTCGCGTCGGGGCGGCAGTACTTCGAGGTGGACGTGGGCGAGGGCATGGGCTGGGACGTGGGCGTCTGCCTGGAGAGCGTGCAGAGGCTCGGGGGGACCACGCAGAGGCCCGAGACCGGCTTCTGGGCCCTGCGGCTGTGCGCCAAGGACGGCTACGTGGCGCTGACCTGGCCGCGCACGCCCCTGCGCCTGCAGGAGCGGCCCCTGGTCGTCGGGGTTCTCCTGGACTGCGAGGTCGGGCTTGTGTCCTTCTACAGCGGGACCTCAGGCTCCCACATGTTCACCTTCCCCAGGGCCTCCTTCCCGGACGCCCTGCGGCCCTATCTCCAGGTTTACCCGTATTCCCCCCTGTTCCTGCCCAGCCTGGACGAGTGAGGAGAGCAGCAGCCGCCTGTGGCTGAACCAGGAGAGAATGAGTGTGAGGGCCGAGGGCGGGATTCGGGCCTGTGCTCTCCATGCTGTTCCCCTGCCCCAGGGCAGTGCCGGGCTGGGAGTGGGTCCTGGATACATCTGCAGGGGGCGGGGGGGGGGGGGGGGGATGGACATACAGAGATAAAGCTGGGCTGGGTGGCTCAGTGGTTGAGTGTCCTCCTATGAACCAGGTCACGGTTCTATTCCCGCCCGGGTTACGGGCTCGATCCCCAGTTGGGCTGTGCAGGAGGCAGCCAATCCGTGATTTTTTTTCTTGTTGATGTTTCTGTCTCCCTCTCCCTTCCTCTCTGAAATCAATAAAATATATATATAAAAAAGACTGTAAAAATACCACAGGGGGTCAGTCTGACCCTTGGCCTCTCCATCCCCCTTTTCAGGATTCAGAGCTTTGATTCCCAGATGTCCTGGGGTGACTGGTGGGGTGACCGAGGTCAGGAGGCCCAAGTCCGCCCCAGTGTGTTTGACATGGTTTGAGCTTGGCGGCCGGGTGGGGTGGCGGGGGGCGGGATTTGCAGCAAAGAACAGAAAAACCAAACTAGCGGTGAGTCTTTTAGCCACTGACCCGTTGATTAATAATCTGAGCCACACCCGGCCCGTGCGGCTCAGTGGTTGAGTGTTGACCTATGAACTAGGGTCTCATGGTTCCATTCCCACCAAGGGCACATGCCCGGTTGGCACATTCCTCTCTGGTTGGGGCCCGTGCAGGAGGCAACCAATAGATATGCTTTTCTCACATCAATAATTCTGTCTTTCTATCTTTCACTCTCTCTGAAAATCAATGGAAAGCTCGGGTGAGAGGGAGGAAGGGAGGGAGGGAGGGAGGGAGGGAGGAAGGGAGGGAGGGAGGGGGGGAGGGAGGGAGGGAGGGAGGAAATGCTGAACTCCTGGAGGCAGGAACGCCCGCACAAGGCCAGGCAAGCTCTGTGCTCAGGGTCTGGACTGCAAGGCGACCCCATAAGGAGGCTGAATTGCTGACAAGCAATAACTTAAAAATATAATGAACGTGTCGGAAGGAACATGGCTGGCGCGTTGAGGAACAAATTGGCCTGCTTCCGTGGTTCTCGGGCTGTCAGGGGTGGGGGAAGGACCCCAAGATACCGCTGAGATCCACACTGTCCCTGCCCAGCTCCAAAGCAAGGAGCCATCTCTATACATGGGCACTGGGGTGCCCCGCTTAAGGCCTGAGAGCTCTCCCTGCCTACCTTCCTTCAACCTGAACATTAAAGACAGTTCTGCCTCATGGGGTTGCCAGGGCCCCGATGGGACTGCACATGCAAAGATACGGCATTCACTCGCGTCACGTCGCGTGTGCCCGATGGCTTCCCACACGGGGAAATGGGGAGCCACCCCTGAAACCCAGGCTCTAGGGTGCTTTTCAATCCAGGGTTTTCTAAAGGCAAATATTGAGGCTCACCGGTGAAGCCGACTGGTTAGTGCGTGTGCCAGCCACGCCGGGTGTCCTTAATCTGGTCGATTTAGTTCTCGACGGCGTCTTGTCTGGAGAACTTTCCTACTTTCAGTTGGGCGACCGACCCAGGTGAGGGCCCCAGATTCCACAGAGCATCGCACGGTTCTGTGTCACACGGCTGTTCTTTTTAAAGCAAAAGGCAGAAACAAAACATGGTGTAACCATTGCATTGTTTGTCATGAAAACATTTAATATTCAGAAGTACATATATTTAACGACTTGTGATATATAATACATATAAGTGGAAACTACATCATAGACAAAGAAAATATAGAAAAAAAACCCTATTAGAAAACTATCACACAGGAGATAAATATAAGGTTAATTTTCTATTATATGTAAGAAAAGAAAACCAATGGGACAAGAGAAAGACAGACTGACTTCCCAGCGAATGAGCAAACCATGTAAGTGCATATTCCAGTGGCCAATAACTAAAGAAAGGGAGTGACGGTGTGAAATAATTCTACACGCTGTGGACTTGCAGAGTTAAGGAGACCTCCCGTCAGGGCTGGCGGGAGAGGAGAGCTATTTTCAGGATATGTCAGCAACCAACTGAAAATTAAAATGCACTTTCCTCTGGCAATTTCTGCACTAGAACTCTCTTGTCTATGCACCATGGCCAGGAGTGGCAAATGGGAACATCAATCCTTATCAATGGGCTATCATCGCTACCCCACGTGGAGGACACTTTTTAAAAGATGACTTCAAAGGACTTTCTCAAGGTTTTGTTAAGAGAAAAGGCAGCCCGGCAGGTGTGGCTCAGTGGTTGAGTGTCCACCTAGGAACCAGGAGGTCATGGTTTGATTCCCGGTCAGGACACAGGCCCGGGATGCGGACTCCATCCCCAGTGGGGGGCGTGCAGGTGAAGGGACAGAACGGAACTTGAAAGAACTAAGCAGAACTAAGCAGAAATGCACCCTCCTCCCTCTTCAAGGACGAGGCAGAGACATGCTCTTCTCCCTCTCCTCTATCTTGTCTTGCAAGGCTGGGCCCTCAGCCCAAGCCGCCCCCCCCCCCTCCCGAGAGTGACCACAAGAATGCTGGTATTGTCCTAACTCTCCCAACCACCCACCTGAGTGGACCAATGAAGCTCCAGAAATGTAGCTAAGGCCCTAATAAGGCTATAGTGGAGGACGGCTCCAACCTTCAGAATGTGATGGTCACTTCCTGACCCTTATGCTGTAAAACCCTGACCAATCTCTGTAACTCACGTCACCCCTAAAGCCCACCCCAAACAGCTAGCCCTATATAACCTCTGTTCTCCTAGGACATGCTCTCTCGCCTCACCGCTGCGCCGGATAGAGGCTGGGAGCCAATTCTAGAACTGATCAATAAAGACTCGTTGCTTTTGCATCGGAGGAGGCTCCCTGGTGGTGGATTATTGGGGAGCCCGAACTCTGGGCATAACACAGGGTTCAGCGGATCCATGATCCTCTCTCATCATTGATGTTTCCATCTCTCTCTCCGTCTCTGAAATCAATAAAAATATATTAAAAACAAACGAACGAATTGAGCTGCCTTAAGGAACAGTGAGGAAACCTGGCTCACCATAAACTGATTGCTCTTGGGTATGAAAAAAGGGCAGCGCACTCTGAACCCCAGAATTAAAGTTCCTAAAGCTTAAAGGGCCAATTCTGCGACAGTGTCCCCACGTGTGTGTTTAATGTGGCGCAGCGAACGCCAGCAGGTTGAAAACGGGTGAGAGGCAGGGGATTTCAAATGTGACCCGATCCGGCCAGTTGTTTCTCCAGAAGGAAAACCGGGGAAGGACTTTGGGCTCCGGCTCTCTCATCCCCTGGCAGCTGAGCCCCTTTCCTGACAACGGCTACAAGCTACCGGGCAGCCAGCCAACCTGCCAGGGTCAGAGGTCGGCGTGCAGTGCCGGCGCCAGAGGCCCACCTGCTGGACACACAGGTGACTCACAGCCACTCCGGACAGCTCGCCTGCGGCTGCCGGGGCAGGTGTTGAGCCCTAGGTTTCACGGGACACCCCAAAAGCATTTCCCAACTTCAGAGAAGACCGCGTCAGCAATGCTGCCCCGTTTCACCTGAGGCCGCAGGGACACCCTGCCGGTTAAAGGGAGCCCTCCCAGCCTGGGCTGGCAATCTTTTTTCTTTTCAAATGTTTTGGTTGATTTGGTGACTGACTAGTTTGGGGTGTGGGTCTACTAAACTCAGGTGAACACACAGAACTAGTGTCTCCCCAAGTCCTGCTGCGGGTAAATCACCGCGAACCCCCAAACGTCCCCGTAACTTTGGGCTCCGAGTGAGAATTTCCTGGGGGTCCCGAGACCTCACCGAGACAGAGGCCCGCGCGCTGCCAAGCTCTTTCCCGCAGCAGGTGGGTGGCTCTTAAAAGAGCCGTTGGGTTACAGGAACAGGGTTCCAACCGGACCTACTTCTTGGGGGCCGCCTTCTTGGCCTTGGGCTTGGTCACCTTGGCCTTGGCCGCTTTGGGCTTCACGGCCTTGGCCTTGGCCGGGCTCTTGGCTACCTTCTTGGGCTTCACGGCCTTGGGCTTCTTGGGGCTCTTGGCTTTTTTGGCCGCCGCCGGCTTCTTCACCTTCTTCGGAGTCTTAACCGCTTTCTTGGCCGCGGCGCCCGCGGGCTTCTTGGGTTTCTTAGAAGCGCCCGTCGCCTTGGGCTTGGCCGCCACCTTCGCGGCGCTGGGCTTGGCCTCCCCGGAGGCCGCCTTCTTGTTGAGCTTGAAGGAGCCCGAGGCGCCGGTGCCCTTGGTCTGCACCAGGGTGCCCTTGCTCACCAGGCTCTTGAGGCCCAGCTTGATGCGGCTGTTGTTCTTGTCCACGTCGTAGCCCGCGGCCGCCAGCGCCTTCTTGAGCGCGGCCAGCGACACGCCATTGCGCTCCTTGGAGGCGGCGACAGCCTGGACCAGCAGCTCGGACACCGAGGGCCCCGCGGGCTTCTTCCTGGCGGCCGCCGCCTTCGCCGGCTTCTTCGCCTTCTTGCCGGCCGAGGGCTTCTCGGGGGCGGTGGAGGCCGATGGGGCCGGGGGTGCCGTCTCGGACATGGCGAGAGCAAAGAGCGACCGAACCAACCGTAGGAACCGGAGAGGCTGGGACGCCACGGGCCGCGGCGCCGCGTATTTATACGGGCGGGCCGCGCTGTGATTGGTGCGCGCCGCCGGCTGCGCCCCCTGTCGGCTCCGAGAGGGGCCCCCGCCCCCGCAGCCTTGGGCTCGGGGTCCCGGCCGCGCGCCCCGGCTCCGGGACAGCACAGTCAACCTCGGGAGAGGGAAATACAGGACAGGGGAGGGCCGGGCTCTGCGCCCCTTAAACGTCGCAGTGCTACTTCTTAAGGGAAAGCAGGATTTTTTTTTGCGGGGCGGCGGGGGCTTAGGGTGGGGACGGTTGCTAAGCGAGGAAGTCGCATCAGAACCTCAGGGCTTTCGCCTGAATCTTCACGGGGAGGCTGTTAGGACATTGCTCCCCGGCTGCAGTGAAAGTGAGGGGCTGACATGCATGGCTGGGGGCCCGGTCTCGCCGGTGCCACTGCCTCTCCCCCAAAAGCCGGAGGGCGACGTGACCTGTGTTTCGGCCCAAGGACAGTGGTAGACACAACAGGACGCGCTGGCACCCCCGCGAACACCCCAGCGCGGCGCGGGGAGACCTCATATGCCAGCGACTCCTGCGGCTCAATGCATTTCCCCAAAGTCCAGTGCCTTTCAGTGCTTGCAACGCAGCCCAACTACGCGCTAACGTTTACGACCCGGGTTCGCTGTCAGCATAGCCATTCAGCAGATGCACAACCTCCGCACCCCGCTCCGAGGCATCAACCAATACCCCGGGGACTGCGCGGTTCCGCCACGCGCACCGTGGGGGGTGGAATTCCTGTGCGTTTGAAAGTGAAAAGACACACCCCGGGGGGACAATTAGCGCCAACTTCCTGATCTTGTCTGAGACCCTAAAAGCGGTTGAATGTATTTACAATGCAAATGTGCGACGCTGCTGGCGGCGGGAAAACCAGGGCAGTGACGTCATGTCCCCGCGCGCGCGCTGCTGCGGTTCTCAAACCGGTCGTCTCCTCTGCTACCCTGGGTTTCGCCGTTTTCTCAGCAACATAGGGATTTGTTCATCCACTAATGTCAGGGTCCCAAACACATTGCCTCCGTCTTCTTTACCACTGTTTCTACCTCCCACTTCCGGGAGAGTCTACCTTTTTAAAATACATCACATAATTTCGAAGAATCTCGAAGAGGACAGTTATAATGGCACAGGTATAAATAGTCCTCCAAGACGGAGTGTGTATTTTTGGAAAGATGTAAAGAAATCTAATTGGGGGTGATAATTCAAATGGTAATCAAAGGAAGCTTTTAAAATGGAAATGCTAAACTAAGTCTTTTAGCCTAAGGAGCCTTTACCTATGCAAACGAGGGATGCTAGGATCTGCTTACCACGTGGCTGTTCGCCATAATGGACTCAGCTAATCAAAATACACTATAATCTGGTCTCCCTCATCCTAGTGGAAAAAAACAGCCACGTTTGTATCTTTCAAGATTGAAAAAAAATTAAGTAAAAGGTGAGGTCTTGAAATTGTTAAGTAGTTCTCCTTAGGGTCCAAGAGCCAATTATTGGGCCAGGGCGCTGTGTATCCAGTTTAGTGCTGGGCGTCACCGTTTTTTTGCACCGGGGAAGAGTACTCTGGTTTTAGAAACATGAGTTTCAGAAAATCCAAGTGTAGGACACAGAACACAAACACGTAACAAAAGGTGCCTGGTTACAAGGGCCATTTCTGTGAAAGCTGCTGTGATTTACTGTCTTGTAGGTTTAAAGAAGGCCTTCAGTCAATTAAAAGGTTACAGACACTTGCCTGATCTCCGGCTGTGCAACAGGAATGGCGGGAGTGGAAAGGGGGAGGGGGGAGGAGATGGTGGCGGCGGCAATATTTCCTTCCCCAAGAACCAAATAGATACACAGAACTAAAAAGCTGTAGTACCATTGAGGCCAATGCTTCCACTTTTATGACAATATAATGCTCAAAGCTTTGAACTCAGATTATGAAAATCAGATGCGGTGAAGAACAAAAGGAAAAAAAAGATCAAACTGCACCTTTGTTGAAAAGCTCCAATATACCCCAATCAGAACCTGTAACGTCACAGCTAAACAGTTTCCTCACCCAATCGCCGCACACGACTTCCTATAAATAGCAGCAGTGATTCCAGGAGACATTATTTGTTCCACAAGCTGCTGCCTATTTTCACGCTTTATTGGTCATGGCTCGCACCAAGCAGACGGCGCGCAAGTCCACGGGCGGGAAGGCGCCCCGCAAGCAGCTGGCCACCAAGGCCGCCCGCAAGAGCGCGCCGGCCACGGGCGGCGTGAAGAAGCCGCACCGCTACCGGCCCGGCACCGTGGCCCTGCGCGAGATCCGCCGCTACCAGAAGTCCACGGAGCTGCTGATCCGCAAGCTGCCCTTCCAGCGCCTGGTGCGCGAGATCGCGCAGGACTTCAAGACCGACCTGCGCTTCCAGAGCTCGGCCGTCATGGCGCTGCAGGAGGCGTGCGAGGCCTACCTGGTGGGGCTGTTCGAGGACACCAACCTGTGCGCCATCCACGCCAAGCGCGTCACCATCATGCCCAAGGACATCCAGCTCGCGCGCCGCATCCGCGGCGAGAGGGCCTGATTCTCACGTCTTCCTCTCCCAAAGGCTCTTTTTAGAGCCACCCACCTTTTGCAGGAAAGGGCTGGAAACACTCCCTACCCGAAGTGGATTAACACAAGTATTCATGTGCTCGGGAGTTAGGGTGTAAACTACTACATAGGTACACATTGCTCCGAGTTTGCACCGTAGAAACAATACCCGCCCTTCCCAATGTTAGTTTCAGTGCTATACTTCACTTCAGTCCTAATTAAGATCCAAAGTTTGAGGGACGTGAAAGACCTGGCATTTCAAGGGTTAATACGGCCCAAATCTCAAAAGCAGGCTTGTCATTTACTAGGAACGTCTATTTCTACCTGTGATCTTATCAAAGATCTTGTCAAAATTTACTGTCAAATGACCTTTTTGCCTTTTCATGTTGACTTTCCTGCTTGAAATATCTTTTGGAACCTTGAGTTTCCTCAGGGTCCCTTAGAGTAACTGCAGATAAAGAACAATAAAACTCTTTCAAGCTGGGCTCTGGCTCCCCCCACTCTCGGGTTTGGAGGAGGGGCCAAGGGAGGGGCGGTGACGTCACATTTCCCGCCAGCGCGTTGTCCAATCAGTACATCGGCTGAGGGAGGGGTGGATGGGGTGGGGGGTTGCGCATTATATAAGAACGGGCTCTTTCCCTTCTCGCCAGTTGCTTCTGCTTCTCTACTTGCAAAGCCATGTCCGGTCGCGGCAAAGGCGGGAAGGGCCTGGGCAAGGGCGGCGCCAAGCGCCACCGCAAGGTGCTGCGCGACAACATCCAGGGCATCACCAAGCCCGCCATCCGGCGCCTGGCGCGGCGCGGCGGCGTCAAGCGCATCTCCGGGCTCATCTACGAGGAGACGCGCGGGGTGCTCAAGGTCTTCCTGGAGAACGTGATCCGCGACGCCGTCACCTACACGGAGCACGCCAAGCGCAAGACGGTCACGGCCATGGACGTGGTCTACGCGCTCAAGCGCCAGGGCCGCACCCTCTACGGCTTCGGCGGCTGAGCCCGCCCCCCGCCCCGGCTCCCCCCAAAGGCCCTTTTCAGGGCCGCCCACCCCCTCTCGGAAGAGCTGCGCGCTGTGGTGCTCGTGTTCCTGTGGACACGATTTCTCGTGTTTGATGGCGGGGATTTTAAGCTTTGGCAGGCGCTGCAGGTTCGATGAGGGTTCCTCCGGCGGTTTCTATGCAGGGCCCCACAGTCGGCGGCGTCCTAGGCCCTTTGGGAGGGATTGGGGGATTCCGGGGGTGATCGGTAGGAAGAAGCAAGCGGGAGGGGCACGAATTTAAAGTTCTAGGGCACTTAGGTTGTCTTTTTCTGGCAGGGACGCCAGCCCCTTTTACCCTGTGAAAGGATCAAGCAAAGATAAGCCTGGTTGGGGAGCAGCAGTTTGCAGTGACGCGGAGCCCTAGAAGCGTTGCTGGCCTAGTTAGTCCATGAGTTAAACGTTTCTGCAAGTCGTGGATCTGCGAGGGTGTAGCCAACCCCGCCCCCACCCAAGGGAGTCAGATCGATTAAAGTTAGATATTTCCAGCGAAACCTGGGCTATTCCAACTGGATTTGCCCTGGCGACATCACGAAGGATTGACATGTGACTCTTGTCCTTCACTCAGGCTTCGGGTTCAGTGTCGACACCCCCATTTTCCCCACAAACTGGGTGAACTCAGGTTTAAATATAACTGGGCCTTGCTTAGGTCCATTCTCACGCCGGCCCCCCCTTGAGCCCCAGGCTAAGCAGTTTGTAAATTCCATAGAATAGACGAAGGGGTCAGTGTCCTAACGCGGGTCCCTGACCTCTTCTGCGACCTGCGGCCTCGCAGCATTTGGGAGGGAGCTCGCTCTGTCACAGGCGCTGCTCTTAACCTGCTGTGACTCCTAACGTTGTTTCCCCGGACACTCCCCCGCGCCCCCCTTTTTTTAAAAAAAATCATGGTCTGTTTAAACACAATACGGATGTCCTTAGGTTGGCACATCGGTTTTTAATAGTCTGCATCTTAGAACCTTATATGCATATTTGCATAACTCATGGACGCAGACAGCAAGGTGGCGAAGGCCTGGGGGCGGGGGGGGTGGGGGTGTGGCTGGAGGAGGTCAATGGGGGGAAGGGGGACATATGTAATACTTTCAACAATATTCATTTAAAAAATAGTCTGCGTCTTTGAAAATGTTCCTTACTATCCTTTTAAAATAAGTATATTTTTATTGATTTTCAGAGAGGGAGGAGAGATAGAAAAATCAATGACCAGAGAGAATCAGATCGGCTGCCTCCGGCACGCCCCCTACTGGGGATCGAACCCGCGACCGGGACATGTGCCTTGACCGGGAATGGAACCGTAGACCCTTCAGTCCCCAGGCCGACGCTCTATCCACGGGCAAACCAGCCAGGGCACCATCATTTGTCTTAATGGTCCATCACCCCTCCCCTACCTGGTGCAGTGAATGGCATTCAGAATGAGGGCAACACTAGCTAGCCTTGAGTTACAAGGCTACACAGATGTCAGACTTAAATTTCCTTAATCTTGTTCATTTCAACCACAGACCCGACACTCGGCACACAAACGGCTGTAGGATGACCTTTGTAGCAGCCCTTTTGGAGGAGGGTGGCCCTGAAAGGCGGAGGGAGGGGAGAGCAGGGGCCGCAGGGCAGAGGCTGTGACCCGGGGGGAGCCCCTCCTTCCCAAACGCCAGGTGGGGCCTCGGGCTGAGAGTGAGACACCAAGTTAGAGCCCCGCCGCCTGGTCCAGTGGATGGTGATTCACACTCTGCTCCGCCCGGGGCGTGGGGAGGGCCCGCCTGCAAGTGAACGGAAAGGACCAGGCCCAGCGCCACTTAAACCCAGCACCGCCGGGCCGGGGAGGGGCCGCTCCAGGCCTGGGAGGAGGCGGAAGTGAAAGGTGAACTCATCTTTCCCGACGTGGCCACGTTCCCTCCCCCAATCAGACCCGCTTCAACTTTCCTGCCTGTACCCGTTCCCTCCCCGAGAACCTAGGGCCGCCACTCGGATCCCTACGCAGCCCGGGTGAGGCGCCCCCATCGAGCCTGAAGCTCCTGCTAAAGGCTAAGGCCCCGCCGCCATCTAACACGAGAAACCGTGTCCACAGGAACACGAGCACCACAGCGCGCAGCTCTTCCGAGAGGGGGTGGGCGGCCCTGAAAAGGGCCTTTGGGGGGAGCCGGGGCGGGGGGACGGGCTCAGCCGCCGAAGCCGTAGAGGGTGCGGCCCTGGCGCTTGAGCGCGTAGACCACGTCCATGGCCGTGACCGTCTTGCGCTTGGCGTGCTCCGTGTAGGTGACGGCGTCGCGGATCACGTTCTCCAGGAAGACCTTGAGCACCCCGCGCGTCTCCTCGTAGATGAGCCCGGAGATGCGCTTGACGCCGCCGCGCCGCGCCAGGCGCCGGATGGCGGGCTTGGTGATGCCCTGGATGTTGTCGCGCAGCACCTTGCGGTGGCGCTTGGCGCCGCCCTTGCCCAGGCCCTTCCCGCCTTTGCCGCGACCGGACATGGTGATGGAACAGAAGTCAGAAGCGTTTGTTCCCGCGCTGGCGGCTGCAGCCTCTTAAGTAACCCGGCGGCGGACCTGGTTTGAAACAGCCCGGAAAAGGCGGGAAACAGCCGAGTCCCCGCCCCTGCTTCTACCCTCAAGGAAACACGGAGTAAGGAGATTTTCTGTTTTTAGAAAATAAGAAATCCCGAACAGGAGGGTCTACCGTGGACGCGAACGAAATTAGCTCCTTTGTGGGTGTGTCCAGCCCATGGATATTTTTGGATCATTTCCAACATGGAATTAAAAGAAGCCCAAACCCCAAGAGACAAAGGAATTGGTAAATGGGTTGCCAAGCAACCCAGCCAGTCTTTGGGTCTGGAATTGGTGAGGGGCTGCTCTCAGGCTGCTACTGGCCTGTCTGTTAAGCTTAGTTTCCTTGGCCGTCTCCACGCAAAGGACGCGCACTTGTCCGTAGCCGAGACAGGATCATGGAACAGGATCATGGAAGCCGGGGCAAGCGGGACAGGGGAACCGAGACAGCGAAACGGCAGTGTGCAGCCACCTGGTGAACCCTGTCTCCCTAAACCAGGGACACTTAAGAGTAGTTTGCGCTTCTTCCCAGAGGGTAGAGAGCTTAAACCACCTACTCAGGGCGACAGAGCAGACATCCATCCCATCAGCGCCATTTGCCAACACGCCCAAGGACAGGTGACGCTAAGAGCATCAATCTCATTCTGGTGCGTGAGCACAAAGCTGATGGGGAGTCTCTAGAGATCCTCCCTAAGAACTTCCCCAAATGCCCAGCCTTTAAAACCCCTTCAAAACGAAGTGTGCGCTCTTTTTCCCAGGAGTATGTCCCCCCCCCCCATGAAGCATCTTCTAAGCTCTAAGGAACCCCGTGAGGCCCGCGACCAGGGCAGCAGCAGTTCGCCCCTGAATCTGCCCCGAAGGCCCCTTCCCCCTGACTTTTAGGGAGCCAAGCAGCGCAGCCTGGGCTCACGTCCCCAGCCCTTCCTTGTTTCTGGGTCCCCAGCTTTAATACGCGTCCTTGAAAGTTCACCCGGACTCCCGTTGTGAACTGTTTCCTGCACCAAGTCTCCAACCCACACCCTACCGGCTGCCCTAGGCAGACCTCTTCAGGGCCAGGCCCCCTTTCCGGTTACAGCTGATAGTTCTTTGACAATAAGTTCCTATCGCCCTGACTTCTGTGTAAAATATTTATAATACAGGCAGCACAAAAGCACAAGGCAGGATTCCAGGGCATGTCCAGCCTAACCGGAGCATGGGCAGTGTGCTTCCATTTAAACAAGTTGAGCTCCTGCATTTAAACAATGGGGGTCCCGGAGGGAAAGAGTGTGGATTCCAGGGGCTGATGCGGGTTCTCTGGCCTAAGGCAGAGGGTGGAGGGGTGCCCGCCCTTCCCTGGGGCTAGCTCATCCAATTCCAGGAAAGCTGTCATAAACGCTAAAGCTAGAAGTGTGGACGAAAGGGGCCACATGCTGACCTGACCAGCTCAGGGGAGGCCTGCATGGCGGTCTTGTAAACTCAGACCTAAAGTCACCACAAAAGATGGTCTGAAATTAAACTTTAACTAAAAGCAGTTATGGTGGGCAGTTACTTCCTAGGCCGGTATCTTCTCTGACAAGGTCAACCTTTACCTTAACTGAGCCTATCTGTCTTTTTGCATCTATGATAACATACCCTTGAAATGTCTGGGTAACTTGCAACCTCCCTTTTTCTGGAGCCCCTGGGGCACAACCAAATGTGCTGGGCGCCAGGACAGATGCCACCAATTCCTTCACTATCATGTTAATTGATCCTGCACAGACCTAAGCATGTGTCCATCATTTTACTTCTTATCCAATCCCAGGGGTTTTCCCTGCTTTGCTTTATTCCTCCTCCTTAATCTGTCACCAATGGATTTCATGTAACCCACCTACGTCCCTCCTTTGATTGCAAATGTATAAATACAAATGTAACCTTATCTCAATTAGTTGAGGTTCTGCTTCCTGGCATATGTTGACAGTTTGGCTCAAATAAACTCACAATTTTTGTTTACGTTAACAGAAGGAATTGTACGCAAGTGACAGTGATAAAGATGCAGTCATTCCTAGAGGTTTGCAATATTTTCAAAATTTTGCTGAACTACTACATGAGAGCATTAAGATATACATGAGGCCCTTAGAATACAATGTTCAAAATAAGAGACGGCATTTTATTGTTTTTAAAAACAAAATTCAACTGAGTCCATTTGAAGATCTAATTGGCTATATTAACCAATTCCTGAACCGGGCAGCAACCGACTTGTAACTAACTAGAAGGGTGCTCCTAGGAGTTGTACAAAATAAATGAGTTTTCTAGGAACAGGGACAGAGCAAACAATCATCACCGAAGGTGAAGAAAGGGTTTCTCTTGGGGGGAAGAGAAGAGCATTTTCATCCCGCAGGCTGCCTCTCCTTTCCAATGTGATGGAGAGGGCCCATGCGACCGATGACCTTACTAGCGCTTTACCGGAAAATTCCAGACTGGTGGTTTACAGTGACATTCCTGGGAGAGGTTGGAACTGCAATTAGATCAGGTATTAAAACTAGGTTTGGGCCTGTGGTTTTTGTCCTGGTCTAACCCTTCGAACCTACCCAAGTCCCTTTTTCTCTGACTCCGCAGGTAAGAGGGTTAACTTGAAACGCAGGCAGATAGGGCAGGGGTCCGGCGAAAACGAAGGCAGGTGGAACATAGGCAGGGGCAGACATGACAGAACAGCCTCACCACAGGAACCAACCAAGCAGAAGCAATAAAATGTTTCTGGACTCACAGCGGGAGGCATGGGAAACCAAGGGTGCGCCTGAAGCAACAAGGGGTACAAACCATAGAAACAGTTCAGGTCGGTTGTTGGGCAAAAACAATTGAGGGAATCAAGCAGGTGGCGACACAGGTAGACGAAGAGCAGCTTGTAGCACATATAGACATACCCCTGACCACAAGGGTTCAGCGGACAGCCCACCACACGGACCCCCTCCTCTTCCGGGGAGTCGGACCCTGCTTGTAATAACTTCCACACTTTGCTCAAATCTTCTGGTCCGAGGAGCTCATCCTACAGCGTCGAGACAGGACCGGGGAAGACACCTTGGCTCACGGTCCCGTTACCACCGGGAGCGGTCAGCAACCCGACTCGGCCCAGTTCTTCCTGGAGAGCTTGGTCTCTCCTTGTGCTTCTCCTACCTTAGGCCCTTCCTGGTTTCCTATTCTCCACGGTTTTTCGCTCAAAAACCCCTGGACTTGTGTTCTCAAATCCTTCCTACACCAAGAAACCACACACTCTAGGCGCAGGGCGGTAATTCCTGCCTGGAAATAAATTAACAGTTTGCGCTCAGCTCTTGTAAGTGAAAATGTGGTGGCTCTGAAAAGAGCCTTTGGGTTTCGGCGCAAGTGGGTGGGACGGAGCTCAGGCCCTCTCCCCGCGGATGCGGCGCGCGAGCTGGATGTCCTTGGGCATGATGGTGACGCGCTTGGCGTGGATGGCGCACAGGTTGGTGTCCTCGAACAGCCCCACCAGGTAGGCCTCGCACGCCTCCTGCAGCGCCATGACGGCCGAGCTCTGGAAGCGCAGGTCGGTCTTGAAGTCCTGCGCGATCTCGCGCACCAGGCGCTGGAAGGGCAGCTTGCGGATCAGCAGCTCCGTGGACTTCTGGTAGCGGCGGATCTCGCGCAGGGCCACGGTGCCGGGCCGGTAGCGGTGCGGCTTCTTCACGCCGCCCGTGGCCGGCGCGCTCTTGCGGGCGGCCTTGGTGGCCAGCTGCTTGCGGGGCGCCTTCCCGCCCGTCGACTTGCGCGCAGTCTGCTTAGTGCGAGCCATTCCTAACAGCCAGGAGCCGGGAACCACTGAATAAGAGCGAGGGCTTTCAACGGTTATTTATAATGCGGGCCCCACGCTGATTGGATAAGGCATCTGTCCATCAAGTCCCGCGGGAAGTGATTGGAAGCCGCGTCCACTTCCTCATCCCAGGAGCCTCCGGGGCGGATGCATCAGAAATTAACTTCTTCCTCCCACCTACCCTTTCAACAGCGGCCGTTTTCCAGTCTTTGTGGCCTCTCCCCTTTTCTGCGTCTTTTCTCTACAATGCTCTTTGGTTTTTCTGCGCAGAATTTAATGTAAGCATTAAAAAATATACATTTTTTGCTAAATGAAGAATTTTAGTTTTCGCCCCGTAAACGCTTCCGTCTGATCTTTTTGAAAAAGCGCGCGCTACATGGGATTGGCCAAGCAAATGTTGAGCCTCATTCAAGTTTCGGGGGGCTAATTTCCTGTCAGTTTCTTAATTCCTCTAAATAAATTTACGTCTCTGTGGGCTTTTTTCTGTTTACCTTAATTTTACATTTGGTGTTACAGCTACAGTGACATTTACTGCCCACTGACTAGCCTTCCCGCGCGTATCACAACTTCACCTGGGACTTGTAGCTCAGGTGGGAGGAAGTGTGGTTAAGGGAAAAGAATCCCCAAACGTGTAAGTGGCACAGAAAAGACGACCGGGGGCCTTACTCGCGCTGGGCCCGTGTTGAGAAGCTCCGCCTGTGACCCAAGTCCACGGGGAGCAGCAGGGCTTTCGTCCTCACACCCCGCTGGGGCCCGTGGCGTAGGAGGTGGAGTTAGGGATGATGTGTCCCATGAAGATGCAAAACTCAACAGTGAAGGGCGGTTTCATTGCCCGGTTGCTTACTAACTGCATTTGTGTTTAAATGGTCACTTTCACCAAGCGTTGTCCCCATCTAATCTTCTCCAGGTTCTACCCTGAGGGCCCACAGTATTCATCTCCTAATTACCCGTGATGCCCAGTAGCTCCGTTACCGTTTCACATCGTTGATGCTAAACTTTTGTTTTTATTGGGAGTAAACAGTGGCATTTCTGGGCGTGTTTGCCCACTGCCATCTACTGTTAGGCTGAGGCGTTACAGCAAAGATCACTTTTAAGCCTCCGCTCCGATAGGGAAAGTGCCAGCGCTTTCAGAGAGAAGGTGGGTGGCTCTGAAAAGAGCCTTTGGT